CCACTAATAGGAAGATGTGCAAAAGATTAAACAGAGCCAATTATAATAGCCCAGGTAAATAATAATAGTAATTATTATTATGGTGGTCTTATCTAGGATAACAATAGGCTGGAGAGATGTGAATAGAGTCAAGAGATATTTACATAATGGTAGGATATTTATAATCATAAAACATTTGATTTACTTCATACTTAATTACATAAATATATACAATAATTTAATCAAAGCTTCAAATGTATTTTAATAAACATTTTTGTGGCTGTAAAAAATAAAAACTAAAACAATAAATAAAAATAAAATTTTTTTAATTTAAAAATAGTCAAGCCACAGCGGTTAAAGCATCGGCCTGCGGTCCTGAGAGACACAGGTTCGGTTCCTGCTAAGGGCATGTACCTCGGTTGCGGTTTGTCCCCGGCTCTGGTCAGTCGTGCGGGTGGCAGCCACTCGATGTGTTCCTTTCACATCGATGTTTCTCTCTCTCTCTCTCTCTCTCTGTTCCTCTCTCTCCCTCCCACTCTACCTGAACAAAAAATGGAAAAATGTCCTCGGGTGAGGATAAAATAAATAAATAAATAAAAATAAAAATAGTCGAGCCAGTGTGGCTCAGTGGCTGAGCATCGACCCATGCACCAGGAGGTCGCCAGTTCGATTCCTAGTCAGGACACATGCCCAGGTTGTGAACCAAATCCCCAGTGGGGGGCATGCAACAGCCAGTCAATCGATGTTCTCTCTCATCGATGTTTCTATCTATCTCTCCTTCTCATTTCCTCCCTCTCTAAAATCAATAAAGGGAAAAAAAGAATTATAAAAAAATTTTTGTTAATAAAATAAAATAAAAGTTTTTGTGACTTCCAAAAAGTTGAATTCCTCATTCTGTAGGAAATAGTGTTCTTTGCTTGGGAGTTTTCTTTTCCCCAGCAAGTCTTCCTAATCTACCAAAGAATATCAGGACTAGAAGTATTAACGTAAGAACTGCATTTCAAATGATGACTTTGATCCAACCATGTTTGGGGTAGCTGCGTTTCTGGCTGTCACCCATTGCTAACCTGAAGTTTAGACAGGGTGGCATCAGTGAACAAATGTCTCTGCCTTCTATCATCCCAGACATATAGACCCCATTTATAACACCCATATCTGAATATAGTATGTAATTAGGAAAGAGTCTGGTCTATCTAGTGCCATTGTCTGTCTCTGGCAGAGTAGCTGAAAGTATTCCATCCATCTCTGGGCCACTATGAGGATCTGAGTGTACAGCATGGCATGCAGGGGAGGTAAGGAAGGAATCCAGACTAAATAACTGACCACCCAGGATCCTGACCTATTTCCAGTGAGTCACCATGGCTTGAGCCAAACAAGAGTTTGGACCCTGAAACCTCATTTTCTATGCCCAAAGCACCAGGATCCAAGTACACAAACAAGTATCTGAGCTTCCTAAAATGATATTAAACCCTGATTCTACCATAATTCCCATTTGGTTTCCAAAGCCAACTATAGTTTGAATCATTTTCCATTAATACGAAAGAACCATTCATTTCATATACACAAACTAACATTACTGCATTACTCAAGGAATTTTTAATTCATTTAGTGTGGTTGACTGGGCTCCTACAAGTTGGACTTGTTGGCGATTCAGTCTGACATGAGGAACAAGGGGGGGAAGTGAGGAGATTCAGATTGTGCTACAAAGAAGAAAGACCTCTCAGTGGAATATGGAGACATAAGTATAAACATAAAGTGAGTCATGACAGAGGTTTCTACTTCTAAAATCTTAAGTCAGTTTGTTGGGGTTGGAAGTCTAGTTCCATCAGCTCATGCTTCTAAATGTGCAACCTTTGGCAGGTGGCTTTGCCTCCCTAAGCCTGAGTTTTCTTCCTGAATGGGAGAAAAATGGATAACAAAGTACTCACCTCACAGGATTGTTGTGGGAATTAAATGAGATCATTCATGTAAAGCCCTTAAAACAGTGCTGATGCTGATTCCAGGGGCTGCTGGAGACACCGCTATCTGGCTTGAAGTGGAAAGGATGTCTCAAACCCTGAGCAGCAGTGTCCAGGGAATTGTATCAGCACTTGCACTAGAGGGAGCCTGGTGCTTGAAGAAAGCAGCTTTCTTTCTTTTTTTCTCAATCACAGTTTACATTCAATATTATTTTGTATTAGTTTCAGCTGTATGCATAGTGGTTCGACAGTGTTCCCCTTATATTCCTAGTACCCACCTGACATCATATATAGTTATTACAATATGATTGACTATATTTCCTATGCTGACCTTTACATCCCTGTGACTATTTCGTAACTATCAATCTGTACTTCTCAATCCCTTCACTTTTTTCACCCAGTCTCCCAACCCCCAGCCCCTCTGGCAATCATCAGTCTGTTTTCTGTATCTATGAGTCTGTTTCTGTTTCATTTGTTCATTTATGTTGTTTGTTAGATTCCACAAATAAGTGAAATCATATGATATGTGTCTTTCTCTGACTGACTTATTTTACTTAGCATAATACCTTCTTCGTCCATCAAGAAAGCAGCTTTCTTTAAAGGACTGGAGGTTGACACATGCCTCCCCCTGCCCTCAACAGAGTTCTCCTGCCATCTAGTGCCCAATGTCAGCAAATGCCTAAATTCCCATGTCAGGGACCCCTTTCCTTGTGTCCCCCCACTCACTCATCAGTCTCCTTTTCCACTCCAGGAGCCAAGTCAGCAGAATCACTTGGCTTCCCCAAAGCTTCAAGCTATTTCACATTCTCTTTTGTTCACAGGAGTTCCCCAAGCCTGGTATGGCATTCTCTTCACCTGTGTGCCAGGCAAACAATTCTAAAGAAAGCTTTGCTAAGGCTCTGGAACTGCTCATGTCCTTCTTGCCAGTCTGGACCACCCCTTGTAGCACATTTCTTCCAATACTGCCTGTGTCTGCCCCGCTCACCTTCACTAATGCTCCCCTGTGAACCCTTACCCCCTGCCTAGCACAGTGCCTCATGTCAACAAGGGCCCAATATGTGTTTAACAAGTGAATGCATAGGAGAGTAAAGTTGGGGGTGGAAGGTAGGGCATTCCAGGAGTTGAGGAACAGCTCGCTGTTGCTGGTACGTAAATGCTCCATCACTGATTGAATATCTGTAGCCTCTGCACTGCCTTTGAGGCTAATAATATTTTATAAATGCATAAACATACATCTACCAACAATCCAACAATTCCACTTTGAAATATTTACCCAAAAGTAATAGAAATCTATGTCTACAAAAGACTTGCTGAAGAATGTTCATAGTCACTTTTTTATTCATAACTGGAAAAGACCCAAATATCAACAGGGGAATGGAAAAACAAATTGTGCTATGTCCATTTAATGGACCACCATTACGCAACAAACAGGAATCAACAACAGGGCTGGATCCCAAAAGCTTATACTAGGTAAAGAAGACACAAAAAGAGTACATACTAAAATATATATACACACACACACACACACACACATATATAGATGGTGGGCAAAAGTTGGTTTACAGTTGTGAGTATGCAAAACAGTGTATTCTTGAATTATTATTTATTAATATTAAATAATTTTCCTTAGGAACAACTATAAACTACTTTGCCCACCCTTGTATATAAAATTATTGAAAGGACCCTGGCTGGTTTGGCTCAGCAGTTAAAGCTTCGGACCAGAGAGTGTGGATTCAATTCCGGTCAAGGGCATGGACCTCAGTTGTGGTTCAGTCCTCGGCCCTGGTCTGGGTGGCACTGGAGGTGACCAGCCAGTGTGTCACTCTCACAACAATGTCTCTCTCTCTCTCTCTCTCTCTCTCTCTCCCTCCCTCAAACTCTATCTGAAGATAAATGGAAAAATATCCTGTGGTGAGGATTTTTCTAAAAATTCTAGAAACGCCCTGGCTGGTTTGGCTCAGCGGTTAGAGCGTCGGCCTGAGGACCAGAGAGTCCCAGGTTCGGTTCCTGCTAAGGGCCTGTACCTTGGTTGCAGTTTGTCCCCAGCCCCGGTTGGGGTCATGCGGGTGGAAGCCACTCAATGTGTCTCTCACATCACTGTTTCTCTCTCTTCCCTCCCTCCCCCGCTCTATCCGAAGATAAATGCAAAAATGTCCTCAGGTGAAGATAAAATAAATAAATAAAAATTCTAGAAAGGTTAAATGTAACATGTAGTGATAGAAAGCATTTCAGTGGTTATGCAATAACTCTATTCTGACCCCCAGTTACTGCAGGTACACACTTGGGCAGTTTCTTTTTTCGTAAACATAAGGGCCTTGAGAAACCCAAAGAAAACTATAAAGATAAGGGGTTAATGAGAGCCTTGGGAAACTGGAGGAATCATGAAGAGAAAGAGATTAATGGTTGCCCTGATCTCTAACAAGCTCCTCTCTCCCACTTCTCTGTATCAGCACCCCTTGATGGTCCCAAAAGCGGTGCCAAGAGAATGTAGTTTTTTCTTCTGTGGTTTGTGCCTTTAACAGCGGACAACAAAGAAGGCAGGCTGCTGAGGACTTGGGGAGAGGACTTGGGGTGTAATAAACTGCTCCTTTACAACTGGGCTGCGCATCTCTGGTTAGCTCGCTGACACCTTACAACAGTTACATGGGGTAAAGAGGTGAGGGAAGCAAGGAGAAAGGGCCAGACAGGGAAAGAGGTTTGTTAAAATTCATCAGGCGGTCCACCTAAGACCTGAGCATTTTTCTGCACGTTAATGATCCGCATTAAATATGTGTTAAGAGTTAGAAGGAAGGGAGAGGAGGAAGAAGGGCAGTCGCAGTGCCCTCGGTATCTACAGAGGTCGGGTGAAGAAGCCTCGGGTTGCCCGAGGCACTGCGGGGCGGGGGGGGGGGGGGGCACAGGCCGGAGGGGGCGCGGCGAGAAGGGGCGGAGAGCGCCGCCTGGGGTGCAGTTGCTCCTCTCCGGCGCTAGGCGGCGGCGTGGGCAGGGGAAGGCCGCCCGGTGACCCGGGAAGCGGCGGCGAGGGGGCGGGTCTGGACGCGGAGTCCATGTGGGCGCCGTCGCGGCGCAGCGCGGGGTCGCCATGGCGGACCTGCAGCAGCTTCGGGTGCAGGAGGCGGTGGACTCCATGGTGAAGAGTCTAGAGAGAGAGAATATCCGGAAGATGCAGGTAGCGGGCCGGACCCGATTGGGGGGAACCCGGCGGCCCGGCATTCCCGGCCCCGTCCCTCGATTCCCGCCCTCTTCCCGCAGCCGCCCCCTCCCCGCAGAACCCGGTCGGGAGTCCCCGGGTCCCGGCGGCGCCCTCGGAAGCAGGCCTCGCCTGCGGACAGAAGCTCTGGCAGTTCGCCTGAGCGCATGAAATCTGTGCGTCCTCGCCACGCTCAAGGCCGTTTATCTTTCAGAGCAGCACGGGGGTGAGGGGGGGGTCCCCGGACCAGGGTAACCCTGGTGTGAGGCGTTGGTCTCCCCCACCTGCCCTTCTTGCCTGGCCCCTTCTGCAGGTGAGCAGCTGGAGGTTGAAAGAGCATGGCCAAGGTGAAAGACCGGAAAGGCGAAAGTGCTCTGCCTCCGCAATGGCCAGGCCATGCCCAGTACTTCGCACCACGGAGCGTTGGGTTTTTTGCTGTTCTGCTTTGATCCCCTAAGTGTTTTATGGCTATTGGTCCCCCGTCCCAAAAGGATTGTGAGTTTTCCTTGTAGTGCCCCTTGGCATTGATTAATGGATGGGTTACCTCCTGGTGGAATATAGATTGCTATACCTCTTAGCCCTTTGGTATAGACACCTGGTTTTCAGAATTTGGCTTCATCTGACCCACTGCCTCCTTCCCAATCCACCCAGCCCTGGAGGCAACAATGCCACTGAGCTAGAAGCAAGAAGGCCATGAAACACTCTGCTTGGCACTGAGGATAATTTTCCCATTTGTGGTCTTATGATCCTGACGGCTGGTCTAAGGAGAGGTGCTAATGTATAGAGCTCCTCCTAACCTCTGTTGCACTGCATGGTCATCTCTGTCCCTGGGGCTTTCCTACCTGACCTCTCTCTGCCCTCCTTTCCCAGGGCCTCATGTTCCGGTGCAGCGCTGGCTGTTGTGAGGACAGCCAGGCGTCCATGCAGCAGGTGCACCAGTGCATTGAGCGCTGCCACGCGCCTCTGGCTCAAGCTCAGGCCCTGGTTACCAACGAGTTGGAGAAGTTCCAGGTGAGCAATGTCCCAGACAAAGGACTCTAGTCCTCCATAATCTTTTGCAGATGACAAGCATTTGTTACAAAACTCTTGTCTCAGTTCTGTTAACATTGGTGATAGTGCTATGGTCAACCAGTCGTCACAGAGTTTGAAATTTTGCACAAAATCCTGGAGATTGAGTGCTATATTTCCCATAGAAACAGAGTTACCAAGGGAGTTCATGACCAAGAGCCTTATGCTTTTTTTTCTGTAGTTACCAAATGTAATACACATACACACACACACACACACACACACACACACATACTGTATAGTACAAAGCTCTCTAAAACATATTAATTCATTCTTACAATAGTAGAATCCCCAGGAAAGTGGAATAGACTAGTCTTAAAAAGGTGCAGATTAGAGCAAGATCCTACCACCACCAGGACTGATCCTACTTGCCAGAAGGCAGCCCCCATGTCACTAAAGAGCAGTCCTTTATATGAAGCATTATTGTTGACTCCCTGATGCCTGCTTCCAAGCCCCTCTGAGGTCATTAGGAGCCCCCTGTATGCCTGTCTGGAGCAAAGGGTAGCCACAACTTCATTTTACTTCCTCCGTCTGAGTATACTTTTCTGGAACTTGGGGGAAGCAGGGGCCACTTCTATACAAGTTTTTCATAGCCTGGGATTCTGTTCACATGGATAAATTATATCTAATGTGATACATTTTTACATTCTGCTATATAAAATTCTTTAAAATTACAGGAATATTGCCTCCAAAATCATGAAACTCCAAAGGGTTTTTGTGTTTATTTTGACACCTAATTTTATAAATAGGGTCTTCGAAATTTTTATTCTTGAATTGCTGTCTAGCTTTTCTCCTTCCATTCACTTTTCAGCTCTCTCCAATCAGACTTACTCTTCTACTGTGCCACTACTGCTCTTGCCATCCCGTCCACGGGGCTAAATCCAGTGATCATTTCTCATTCCTCACTTTTCTCAACCTATCTGCATCATTCGCACAATTGAAACACTTTATTTAGTTGGCTACCAGGACACCTCATTTTCCTGGTTTCCCACCTCTCTTCCTAGCCATCTTTTTATGGCCTCCTTGGCTGTCCTTGAACTTTTTCTCTTTTCTACCTAGTTCTCTAGTCTCATGGTTATAATTATCATCTGTATGCTGACAACTCCTACGTTCATGTCTCTAGACCAACTTCACTCCTGATCTCTAAATTCATATATCCAACTGTTTCCGCAACATCTCCACTTATTTATTTTGTTGGTCTATCTTCCCTTGCTGGAATATAAATTCTATGAGGAAAGAACTTTATCTGTTTTATTCATTGCTGCATCCCCCATTAGAAGAGTACCTGGCACATAGTAGATAGTCAAATAATTCTTCAGTTGAATGTTTTTCTGTAGCAAGGACAGACATTAAATAATCCAGATGTTTGTAATAAGTCTTTCTGTAATTGAGTAGCTGGCCTCTAGTTACTTCTCACTTCCTAGAATGGGCTTCTATACAATATATTCTGCCATTCATCTGCTTTCTAGTAATGTTTTGTCTGGGCCCTCCTGGTGCCACCCTCTGTTTCGATCAGGATAATCCTGGTTAATTTCACTATAGTGTCTCAAACAACATCATTTTGTTATAATATTGATGAGATACCATAGTAACTTAACTCTTTTATTATCATTTAGCTTGTGGCAAATTTTGTTTCATTATACATCATTTCACCACAGTTCCATGATGACATTAAGTGGGTACTTAACTGTATGTAGCACAGGGCCTGGCACATGTTAAGCACTTGGTAAATAAAGGCCAGCTTCTCAGCCTTCTCTACCCTCTTCCTTCTTGCCACAGGACCGCCTGGCCCGGTGCACCATGCATTGCAACGACAAAGCCAAAGATTCAATCGATGCAGGGAATAAAGAGCTTCAGGTGAAGCGGCAGCTGGAGAGTTGTGTGACCAAGTGTGTGGATGACCATATGAACCTCATTCCAACCATGACCAAGAAGATGAAGGAGTCTCTCTCATCCATTCAGAAATAGAAGTATTTACCACTGGCTATAGAGGCTGAGGGCAGGAAGCTATTCAAAATGAAGAATGAGAACTTTGGTCTTTTAAGCAGAGTTTATGCATGAAGAAATTAAGGATGCAGCAGGTGTAAGGCACATGTCGCTTGCCTCTGGACACTGGTTCTTTTATGTTTTAATCCTAGAAAGTGAAATGGAAAAAAAACTGGTGCTAGAATTTGGTTCAGAGTTATTGAGAGCCTAAATTTTGTGTGGCAAATGCTTATCCTAGCAGCAGGCATTTCCCTCACACCAAGCCAGAGCCCTTGGAGGTACCAACAGGCTGACAGGTTCCTCTAACCTGCTAATGATGTAGTGGAATGCGAGGAGATGTGTTTCTGTTTGTTGCCAACCTCCTGTTTACCAGAAGCATTACCACACCATTTTTCATAAACTGTAAAACAAAATCCACGATGTCACTAATTTAGAAGGGGAAAAAGAGTTTCTGCATATTTGTTTTGCTTGGTTTTGTTTTATATACAAGAGCATGAAGTTGATTTAAGATGTGGAGTTGGGAGAGGTAGTTTGGATAAGAACTTTGAAAGATTCCTTTGGATATCTGTTTCTGTCCATCAAGATGTGAATATGCACTTCTTAAATTCTCACACATGACACCTTCCAGCCCGGAGACCCTCCAAAGACATGAGAGGCAGTGTCACACTTGATACGGGAAGCAGACCTTCCTTCTCACTGGCTGCAATGATGGGCCGTATGCCTGTCTGCAGCAGAGTGACAGGACAATCTTGCAGTGGTACTCTACCTTGATGGGAAAGGGGGTTTTGATTGTGCTATATACCAATATCAGGAATGAACAGTGAAAAAGGAACTGTTGGCTGCTTAATTAAGAGTTATGAAGTGCTAAACTTGGGAAAAACCTGGTTTTCAGGAATGAAACCTAAACCCAGTATTGTTCACTTAGCCCTCTCAAATAACAGAGCCCTACTGAGACAATCCTTTGGCAACAGGAAGTTCAAGGGAGAAAAAGTAAGCAACTCACGTGAGCTGTGGCTCCTTTTGAGCAAAAGCGGCAGCCCACATTACCAAATACCACTTTTGCCTGGGGCCTTTGCAACATGCAGTATTCTTACCCCAGCTCTGGCACCTTACCATTTTGATAAAGACTTTGTCATCTTTTTACCAACTTATTACTTGAAATGATAATATAGCCTGTCTGTTTGCTGTTTCATGACTGTGATATATTTTCCTAGTGGTCTGGTTTTAAAAAATAAATAAGGTTTAATTTTTTCTCCAAGAATGGTTTTCCTTGTAATGTGTGAAATAAGTTTCTTAAGAGGTCCAGAAGAGTGAAAATTATATATTATGGTTTGGATACAGGACCTGGTCATTGTAAATGGGAAAAATTTCGAGGGCAGACTAGGGCACTTTTACTTGAAGTCCATTAATGTAAAAAGAAACTATACGGCTAAAAAAAGAAATTCAGTATCTATGTTGGGTTTCTTGTTTCATCTAAACACTAACAGCAAGAGGTAGAAAAGAGCCCTGGCCCATGTGGCTCAGTTGTTAAGCCCACGTACCCAGGGACCGCAGGTTTGATTGCCAATCGGGGGCACGTACCTGGGTTGCAGGTTCGATCCTCAGCCCTGGTCAGGGTGTGTTTGGAAGACAACCAAGCCATGTGTCTGTCTCACATTGATGTTTCTCTCTCCCTCCCTCCCTTCCACTCTAAAAATCAATGGAAAAGCCCTGGCCAGTGTGGTTCAGTTGGTTGAGTGTTGTCCCGTACACCAGAAGGTCACTGGTTCGATTCCCAGTCAGGGCACATACTCAGGTTGCTGATTTGATCCCCTGTTGAGGTACATTCAGGAGGCAGCCTGAAACATTCAGTGTTTCTCCTGCTCCCTTCCTCTGCCTCAAATCAATATATATATAGGAAAAATTGATATAATAATTTTTAATCAATGCAAAAAATATCCTCGGGTGAGGATTACAAAAGAAAAAAAGAAACGATAGTTATGATCCCTCTAGAAAATATGCAGTGTCTAGGATTTTGAGTACCGAGAGAATACAAAATACACAATTAGTTTAACTAATTCTTTACTATCGATTGGTATTTCAATATGCAGAGCCCATTCCTGAACATTAGAAATACATTCAATTTTGGAGAACCATCCAGTACTTAGAATCACCAAGGCTTTTCTATTTTGGCCCGTCTTCTATAATCCCTGAAGTACTTTATTATTTTTTTATCCTCACGAGGACATTTTTCCATTTTTGTTCGGGTAGAGTGGGAAGGAGAGAGAGAGAGAAACATCGATGTGAAAGAGATACATCAAGTGGCTGCCTCCCACCCGACCCCAACCGGGGCCAGTGACAAACTGCAACTGAGGTACATGCCTTTAGCAGGAACTGAACCCGGGTCTATCTAGACCGCAGGCCGACACTAACCACTGACCCAAACCAGCCAGGGCCTGAAGTACTTTATTAATAAATTAATAAATAAATAATAAATGTGGATTTTCCTATTTTGGGTAACTAAACTGGGAACAAGTCAGACCACTTTTTACACTTACACTCTTGACTTGAAAATCAATACCTCATATTAGAGTTTGTGTGCTGCACTTAATGTTTTATGTATGGGATCAAGGTACAGTTCACATTTAAGTGGGGAGCTGGAGGCAGCGTTACAAGAATAGCAAGACTATCCAGTCAGGAATGTACTTCTTGTTCTTGAATTCAAATTATTAGAAACAGGCCTGTCACCCTACTCCTTGCTGCAGAGGTCACTAATTGAGAAGTTAATGAAACTCTTGGCTTAGCATGACAATATGCTGTGGGAATACATTCCAAAACACTATCAGGGGCCCACTTGTCTAGAGTTTATTTTCACTTGGTATATATTAATAAGCTAAATGATACGATCCGCTAAGATTTGGGATTGACTGGTGTCTTAAGAAGTTAGAGTCAGTCTGGCCAGTGTGGCTCAATGGTTGAGCATCCACCCATGCACCAAAACGTCCCCTGGTCGAGTCCAGGTCAGGGCACATGCCCAGGTTGTGGGCCAAACCCCCAGTGGGGGGCATGCAGGAGGCAGCCATTCTCTCTCTTCCTCTCTCTCTAACATCAATGAAGAAAAAAAAAAAAAAAAAGAACAAGGTATAGTCTAGACATCTATCACAATTTTACATAAGAGAAAACGGAACTAAGGACCCCTAGAGGCCCCACCCCTCCATCCTGGCCAATCGCCGGCTACGCAACCGGAAGTTCAGGACTGATCCATACGCTCAGGCTTCTCCTAAATATCGCGAGTTGAGATGTGAAGGTTGCCAGCAAATAATTGGCTAACGGGATCGGTGACGTCAGACGCAAAACGCCGGACATACCGCGTGAGCGTAGGAGAGGCCACGAACTACGTTCGGAGCTATTTTCGAGTTCTCTTAGACACAATGAGCAAAGCTCACCCTCCCGAGTTAAAAAAGTAAGTATCTGCGAGTGCCGCGGGTATTTAGCAAATTTTTGTGTGCCTCGAGTTCTTTAGATTTCCCATTTCCCGTCAGTGCGCTTGGCGTAGGTGTTCGGGTCGGAGGCCTCCGAGATCCCAGCCAGGGTCCCGCGCTTCCGGGCCTGAAACCCGCGCAGACGTTGCATTTTTGCTTGGTCGGCATGGTTACCCTAGGCAGCGGAGGCGCTCCTGTGTTCAACCGACTCGACCTAGCCAATCTCCCGGCCTTACTCTCCCTCATGCTCTCCCTCCTTACTTGAAGATATCGAATGCCACCCTTTGTTGAACATCTTATATAGCTTCCTGTTATAGATCTGGTGTAGTATTCTTGCTGAGATGGATTTTCTTGTTTAAATTGTTTAAAGCTTCAAAATATGCATTTGTTTTGTTAAAATATATTTATGTGTTGAAGATTAAAGCTTCATATTGAATAAAACACTACTTGTTTTTTGTTTTGTTTTGTTTCTTGCTGCGTGCCACTAGCGGGAACCAAACCCGGGACTCTCTGGTCTGCAGGCCCATGCTCCAACCGCTGAGCGAAACCGGCCAGGGCAAACGCTATTTGTTTTTTTGTTTGTTTGGGGTTTTTTTGTTTTTTTATCCTCACCCGAGGATATATTTCCATTTTTTGTACAGATAGAGTGGGAAGGAGAGAGAGGAAGGGAGAGAGAGAGAGAAACATCGACGTGAAGGGACACATCGAGTGGCTGCCACCCGCACGACCAACCAGGGCCGGGGACAAACTGCAACCAAAGTACGTGCCCTTAGCGGGAACCGAACCCGGGTCTCTCCGGACCGCAGGCTGACGCTCTAACCGCTGAGCCAAACTGGCCAGGGCAAACGCTATTTGTTTTTTAAAAGAAAAAGTAAAATAGCTATTGGATTGGATGTGGTTTGATACAACTTCTGATTTCTTCACAATTATGTGTGGTTTTGGAGATAACCAAAATATAATCAAATCTTTTATTTTCTATTTTGGCTATAAAATCCAGCCATTGAAAATTAGGTCAGTATTGAACAACAAGAATGTTTTTGTAATTCACATCACTATAAAGACTCAATGTCCATTAATATATTATAAACTTATTCCATTTTTATTGATTATCTTGCCCCTTCCCGAAATACATTGCATATACTTTTAACAAATTATATTGACTAGCAAATTATTATGTAATTAAGTATATACCTACTTTTGTGTTTATTTATGCTTACGGTTTTTAATAATTTATATAGCCTTTATTCCTTTGCTTTTTCAGATTTATGGACAAGAAGTTGTCGTGTAAGTTTAAATTTTTGTTTTTCATTCAGTTTTGTTGGTTTTTTTTAACATGTGTCTTGGCAGTATACAATGTTTGGAGCAACTTTATAAAGATTTAAAGCACACAGAGCCTCTAATTCATATTCATTTATTAAGCAGATTTAGCAAAATTCTAACTAGACAGTTTTATTTACCCAATTTTTGAAATTTAATCAATTTCATAGTACTTCAGACTTTTCATAATTTCATATGAGCACTCCCTGTCACAAACAGGGTTTTTCTATTTTGTGACATTGGAAAATCTATTTTTTTTTTTTTTTTTTAGCAAAGGGACATAGACAAGGACCAAAAATCTGACTCACATAGTACTTGAATGTTGTAGAGGTTAAGATCATGGCTTTAAAGATAGTAAGCAACCTTCAGTTTGAATCCCAGCCCTACCACACAGTAGCTGTATGACCTTGAGGCGGTTACTTAAAAGCCTTACACTTCAGTTCCCAACCAAAAAGTTAGGATAATTCTACTTTATAGGATTCTTGTAAGTTTAAATATGGAAGTAAATGTAAAATGTTCAGCCCAGTACTTGGCATGTAGTAAGGATAGTGGATTGTATATTTCATACATCTGGGTTTTACTCCACTTAATTTTTAATGAATACTTGATAGTTAATGGCCAGTTTTATTAAAACTTTTTTTTCCTTTTTTTATAGTGAAATTAAATGGTGGCAGACATGTCCAAGGAATATTGCGGGGATTTGATCCCTTTATGAATCTTGTGATAGATGAATGTGTGGAGATGGCAACTAGTGGGCAACAGAACAACATTGGAATGGTGGTAAGTAAAGATGTGAGATTTCTCTTAGAGATTTTGTTTCTCGTTTGGAATAAACATTAACTTCCCTTCTATCAAAGTCTTGAATTAAACTGAAATTAGGAAGGCCAGCCAGTGTGACTCAATGGATTGAGTAGCATCCCATGGACTGAGATGTCCTGGTTTGATTCTTAGGGCACATGCCCCAATTTCAGAGATCCCCAGTAGGGAGTGTGCAGAAGGCAGCCAATCAATGTTTCTCTCTCACATTGATGTTCCCTTCTGTCTCCCTTCTCCTCTCTCTCTAAAAAAAAAAAATTTTTTTTTAATTGAAGTTAGGCAAAATTAGACTTTCCATCTTCCTTTTAGTTTAACATTTGGCAGTCATTCGACTGTGATAATATTCTAATTACTGTTAAGTTATATTAGTCTTTTATAGAACCCTCTGAGGTCCTTGAGCTTGGAATAGCTGTTGAAAATCATATTTTAGCTTGATGCTATAAATAGAAGCCCATAGTCGATCTTTAGTAGAGAGCATTTTAACTGCATCTTAGAATCAAATTAATTTGGGATGTAGCATAGAAGTTTTTAAAGTTCTACAGATGATTTTAATGTAAGGCAAAGATTAACCATCGGTATAGAGCATTTACAATCACCTGAGTTTTCCCAAAAAACAAAAACTAGATTCTACCCCAAAACAGTTGAAACTATCGCTAGTGGTGCTTTTTTTTGTTTTGTTTTAATATTAATTTGTAGTGAAGGTTAAGAACATACTTACAAATTCTCAGATGGTCTTGTAAAAAATACAAATCCTAATTGAGTAAGTGGAACCTGAGATTTTGCATTTCTAACAAGTCCGTGTGATGCAGATATCATCAACCTAGATTTCTGGTTAATAGCACCCAAATTTAAAAGTAGTCAAATTAAGCCCTGGCTGAGTAGCTCAGTTGGTTACAGTGTTGTCCCAGTACGCCAAGGTTGTGGCTTTGATCCCCAGTCAGAGCACATACAAGAATCAACCAATAAATAACATAAATAAGTGGGACAACAAATCCCACCTCTTTCCTCTTTCCCCTTTTCCCCCTCCCTTCCTCCCACTCTTCCTCTCTTTAAAATCAATAATTTTTTTTAAAAAATTTTCCTTTATTGATTTTCAAGAGAGAGAGGAAGTGAGAGGGAGAGGTAGAAACATCGATGAGTGAGAACATCGATTGGCCGCCTCCTGCATACCCCCCACTGGGGATCAGGCCCCCAACCTGGGCATGTGTCCTGACTGGGAATCAAACAGGCGACTTCTTGGTGCATAGGTTGACGCTCAACCACTGAGCCACACCAGCCGGGCTAGGGTCTTTTCTTTATACCTTCTCTTCCTGCCACCAAGCTCTCTCCCATTCTCTTATACAGTTAACCTTTGAATAACATGGTTATAAACTGCAGGTCCACCTATACGCAGATTTTTTTCAATAAATACACAGTATCCCTGGGCTTCGCATCCATGGGTTCAACCAACTGTGGATCAAAAACAGTATTTTCAATCCATGGTTGGGAATCCATAGATGTGGAGGACCAACTGTATGCATTATTATAGGGGATTTGAGCATCTGTGGATTTTAGTGTCTACAGGGGGTCCTGGAAACAATCCCCTTCAAGATAGGACTGGGGAGTCAAAAGCTATACACAGATTTTCAACTACATGGCGGGGTCAGTGCCCCTAAGTCCTGTCTTCAAAGGTTGACTGTCTTTGCTGTTGCCAGAGTAGTGGTCATTCCAACTGTGAAACTTTCACTGGCACATTATTGGTTTCATGATCCCCTCCAAACACTTTTAAAATTGGTGTTTGAGGCCTTCTAAGATTAGGTGCAAAACTATCTTTGTTTCCACTTTCCTTCATAACTTCTTACTGCAAATTAGGTTCTTTTCTTAAACCCTAGATAAAAAGTAGGCTTTATCTGTCAAATTTCCTGTCAAAATTCTATCCAATTTTCAAAACCAAGCTAATGTGCCCTCTTCATAAAGCTTACTTTTCATAACTTCCATTCTGGTTTATTCCCTAAATGGTCTTACACCCATAAACTAACATGCATATTCTGTTGTACCTATTTTTCCCATTAATTTATGGATCCCTTAGGGGCAGTGATGGGCATGTTATTTGAGTCCTGCAGTTTAAGAAGTGAAATGAGTCATTGGAGACTTGGTATCTCAAAAGGATAGTTGTTAGCCTTTGGTCTAAAAGATGTGCATCTCATTAAAAAGGGCTTAAATGGCTTCACGGAGTGATTCAAGACGAGTTATTTGATGTCCCTGTGGCTTGGGGAAAAGCCTCAAACTGGCATTTAATACTGAAAAACCATTTATGAATTGGTGAAAATTCTTTAGTCATGATTAGTATGTCTGTTAAGTGATTTGTGGTCTTTTTAAATTTACTTTTCTCTTTCTTAGGTAATACGAGGAAATAGCATCATCATGTTAGAAGCCTTGGAACGAGTATAAAGAATGGCTGTATTCACCAGAGAAATCAACTGCTTCCACATGTCCCCTCTCCACAGCACCTGTTTTACTACAATATAAAAATAGAATTGTGTCCATTTTCACATTGAATTTTTGTTAAATAAACTTTTGTATTGGTCAAAAAATGCTTTCTCAGATGTTCTGAACTTAGGCGTTCTGAAAATAGAATATTAGCTCATTTTTTTTCTTATATGAACTATTCCTGGTTAAGACTGATTTTTTCCAAAGGTTTTTATGCATTAATATAGAAGAATATGATTGAGTGTAAAACAGCAAGGATGCCTTTTTCCCATCTTTTAACACTGAGTAAAGAGAAAAAACCTGCAAACCTGAGTGTGTTTCTTCTAAAACATGAACTATAATTTTTATACTCTGGCTTTTCCAAGCACATCTACGTTTCAAATAAGTACAATAGAAAAACGAAGTAATGATGTTGCTGTTTATTTGGAACATAAGTGGGAAAATATTTTGAATACAAGAGTAGAAATAGAATCAAGAGGAAAATATTCCAATGTATTGTTCTTATAGAGTAGTGATAATGCTGCCCATAATGCATTCATCTAGTTCAAATATTAGGGTACACAAACTGATGAAAAGCAAGTACATAAGGTACTTAAAACACAGCATAGTGGATGGCATATATGTATCAAATGGTATTTCCTATTTATAAAGTGTATGGCAAAAGAACAGCTAAAGGGATCAAACCAATAAAAGTGTGAAGTCCAATATATTTTAATTCCAATTTTTATTCTAATACATTTTAAATCCACTGAAGTTGATAGGTTTGATTTATTTTTTGCAACCACATAGAGCTGAATTATAGAAATGGTTCTGTGTGGTTCCTGGACCAGCAACATCACCTAGGAACTTAGAAATGCAAATTTTTATATGCCACTCCAAACCTATTGAAAAATTCCCTAGGTGAGGCCCAGCAATGTTTTACGCCCTCCGCGTAAACCCAGTGCATGCTCAAGTTGAAGAACTGCCTTTGGTTCAGCCTCTACATCATTTCTACCCGTCCCTTCTGTAAAAAGATGAGTAAACAAGCTAATAGTATTTTTCAATCAATTTAAAAGAATTATTCTTTAGTACTATAATTGCACGAAAACTAGTATATTTGAGCCTGGTCAGTGTGGCTCAGTGGATTGACTGTCATCCCATGGACTGAGGTCCCAGTTCATTCCCCATCAGGGTACATGCCCTGGTTGCAGGCTCAATCCCCCAGTAGGGGGTGTGCAGGAGGCAGCCAATTGATGTTTTCTCACATTGATGTTTCTCTCTAAAAAGTCCATAAAAATGTATTTTTAAAAAAAACTAGTATGCTTGACAAACTGATAACCTGTTCTGCTCTTTGAGGAAGCAATTTCAGATGCCCCCATTGGAAAATGTTATCAGGTTTGATATGTCAACACTAAACTGGTGTTCTTATAAGAATATATCCCATTGCAAATTCTACAGGTGATATAAATTATATTAACTATTTCATGAATACCTATCTAGTATATACATTCTCTATATATTGTCTTCATTAAAACCACAAAAGGAAAAAAAAACTTTTTAAAAATACAATTAGGAAAAAGCTGACCCTTTGACAGACAGTACATGTTAACTTTTTATTGAGTTCACAAGCTTTAACTTGTTCTGTCCCTATCTTTAAGGACAGTCATTCAAGATCTTTGTACAGTAGATGTAGAACAGGTTCTCAAGTTTGGCTGCATATCAGAATCACTTGGGAAGCTTTGAAGTCCTACAGGTGATTTCAAAGTGCAGCCAAGGTGGAGAACTACCATCTTAAATTCGAGTTCAGCAACCAGTTTCTCAGTAGCTTAAGAAGTCTGAACATATGCTGGGTTTGATCAAGTATGGTGTCATCCTGAATATTCTACTCCTGTCAACTGTTCTGGAATAATCTAGGTTGCCTCTGCTGCTACAATCAATGCTTCTTACTATCAAGGTTACTACTAGAGTTCTTGAGAGAACTCATTCTTCACAAAATGAATCTGCTTTGATAATAGACTGGATTTCCTGGTACTTTTAAGGCACTACAAACCCTTTGGAGACATTTTAGATGCCCAAATCAGTGATTCTCAATGCAGGTTGCACATTAGGAACTTTAAAAATGGTGCCCTGGCCGGTTTGGCTCAGTGGTTAAAGCATTGGCCTGCTGAGCAGAGAGTCCTGGGTTCATTTTCCACTAAGGGCATGTACCTCAGTTGCAGTTTGTTCCTGGCCCTGGTTCATGTGGGTGGTGACCAATCAATGTGTCTCTCACATCGATGTTTCTCTCTCTTCCTCCCTCTCTCCCTCCTACTCTATCTGACGATAAATGCAAAAATGTCCTCAGGTGAGGATAAAAAATAAAAATAAATAAAATAAAAAGCTACAGTGGTGAGGCCCTATCCTCAATCCATTAAATCAGAATCTCTGCCTGGGGATGGCAGTGGGGGAGGTCTACACATTTTGTTTGTTTGTTTGTAATCCTCACTGGAGGATATTTTCCATTTATTTTCAGATAGAGTGGGAGGGAGGAACATTGATGTGAGAGAGACACATCAATTGGTTGTCTCCCACACAACTTCGACCAGGGCCAGGAATGGAACCGAAATCAAAGTTATGTGTCCTTGACTGGAATCAAACCATAACTCTTTGGTCCTTGGGCCAACCCTCTAACCACTGAGCAAACCCAACCAGGGCTATCTGTGTCTTTAAAAGCTCCACAGGTGCCCTGGCCGGTTTGGCTCAGCGGTTAGAGCATCGGCCCACAGACCAGAGGGGCCTGGGTTCAGTTCCTTAGGGGCACGTACCTCAGGTGCAGTTTGTCCCCAGCCTGGTTAGGGTTGTGTGGGTGGCAACCACTCCATGTGTCTCTCTCAAATCTATGTTTCTCGCCCCCCCCCCCCCCCCCCCCCCCGCTCTGTGTGAAGATAAATGCAAAAATGTCCTCGGGTGAGGATTTTAAAAATAAATAAAAGATCCATAGGTGAGCCCAGGCAGTATGCTTCAGTGGCTGAGCGTTGATCCATGCACCAAGAGGTCGCTGGTTCGATTTCCAGTCAGGGCACATGCCCGGGTTTCGGGCTTGATTTCTCAGTAGGAGGCATGCAGGAGGCAGCCCACTGATGTTTCTCTTTCACATTGATGTTACTCTCTCTCCCTTTCCCTTCCTCTCTAAACTCAATAAAAATGTATTTTTAAAAATTAAAAAAAGGAATAGGGAGGGAGGTAAATGGGGGAAATAAGGGAGGATATCTGTAACACTTTCAACAATAAAAATTAAAAAAGAAAAACAAAGCTCCATAGGTGAGGTTTTGATAATAGAATGCCAATTTCTTCAATCAACAGTCTATATTTGCTTTGCATTTTACTGGAGATTTTTTTCACCCCTAAAAAAAAGACAAAAGAATCAAAAGAACATTCTAAAGGTCAAGGCTTCAGTCATTTACTTTGAAAATGGTATAAATGCCCTGGCCACTTTGGCTCAGCGGTTAGAGCGTTGGCCTGCAGTCCAGAGAGACCCGGGTTCGGTTTCCACTAAGGGCACGTACCTCGGCTGCAGTCTGTCCCCAGCCCTGGTTGGGTCGTGTGGGAGGCAGTCACTCGATGTGTCCCTTTCACGTTGATGTTTCTCTCTGTCTCTTCCTCCCACTCTATCTGTACCAAAAATGGAAAAATGTCCTCAAGTGAGGATAAAAATGGTGTAAATTACTAACGCTACGCATAAGATACCAGCTCCCATAGGTTTCACTTAAGTAACTAAAGATCACATCCAGCTATAAAGTACAAATGAACTAGTCAATTAAAAGGTATGTCTAAGTTCTTCCTCAAGCATTCAGCTTAAATTGTTCTAAAGTTTTGTTCAAAATCGAGGGCCTCACCTGTAGACCTATTGAATCAAAATCTCCAGAGAAGCTAGGGAATTCTGTATGTTAATTCTGTAAGATGAGCCTTACAATCAGACAAGTTTGGAAAACACTGTTGAAGGATGATAAGGGTTAAGAAATCTTGGAGTGGGCTCACTCTGGAGCATGCCCATGCCTTTCTTCCCTCTCAGGCACGCATCTTTACTTTTTTCTCCTGAACTCTAAGGGTCCCCATGAGACTTGCAACCAGGGGAGCAGCAGTTCTTCCTGGGCTAACCCCCTGAACCTGTCTCCAAGGCCCCTTTTCTCTCATTTTTCAGTGAGCTAACAGCAGCCCCACCTTGGATCACTTCTTTCTATAATGTTTCTAGGGAACCAAAGCAGAGCATCACCTAGGCTCTCTCCAATTGCTTCTTCTTACCCTAAGTCCTTCCTTTGTTTCACTGTCCCCAACTTTAATAAACGTACTCTCAAAATCACACACACACACACACACAATTTTGAAGATGGCATAAATGCAATAGTTACACCTTCCCACTTAGACCCTTGTATTTTCTCATGACTCACTGGGATTACTCGTTAAACAATGATAATGGCAAAATATCTGATTCAAAATCATCTCTGTTCAGATTGTGTTCTTTTTTGCCAGTGATATTCCACTTGGAACCAGAAGGGAGGAAAATGAAAGTGTTATCTCATAGTTCAGTTTTCAGTTTCTCATATAAGTCCTCTTGGTCAATCATATCTGTGTGCTCATACCAGCGGTGATAGGCAAGGAGAGCGGCATTGTGGGCTGCAATGGCACTCATTTCCATGGCACTTGCTGCACACTCTATGCCATTGAGGTAATAAAGTCGATCGTGGAGTATGATGGAGGGGCACTTCTCTGGAGGCTTATAGTGAGGATATGCAAGCCACTGCTGCTTCACAGAATAATCATAGGACACAAAGAGCTTTAAAATTTGCTCTTTAGTAAGAGTTTCTCGGGAAAAGATCTTCCAAACAAAAGCTCCACCTGTTGATGCTTGAGGATTATTATTTTCTCTTACAGAGGACACAATCCCAATGCTGTTAATAAATAAATCTGATTTATCAGTGGTTAAGACTGTAGTGAGACCAAATTCATCTAAGGTTCTAGAGCTAAAAATAGTTGAATTCAACTTCCCCCTGATAAAAGTTGACACTATTTGTTGATAGTATTGATGGAATTCCTCAATTGGAGGATCAAAGTTGAGAAAAGTTATATTAGACATTTTTCGATTCAATGGAGTGGCCACCAAGACAATATCATAAAAGTCTGAACGGGTCTCAGATCCAGTTTGGTAGACTATTTCATACATCTTTGTGGGGTTTCCTAGAGGAAATAAGAAAGCATACATTTATTTAATTTCTAACATACTATATTTTACATCTCCTAAAATAATTCTATACCTTCTTAATAGTTTATAATCCTAAGGAATTAAAGACTGTCCTTTAAGCTCTAGCCAGGTAGATCCACTGGTTAAAGTGTCATCCCAGTACACCAAGGTTGTGGGTTCAATCCCTAGTCAGGGCATATATAAGAATCAACCAATAAATGCATACATAAGTGGAACAACAAATAAATGTTTCTATCTCTCTCTCTCTAAAAAAATAAAATAAAGACTTTATCCATGAAGTTAACTGTCCCAAACTGTTCCTACTTAGAACAAAAATATCTTGTCAATAAGTACAAAATAAGAAATTTTTACTTTTGAGATGAAATGTTTTAAATCCAAGGAGCCATGCCATTGCACTTAAATATATACGGGAATATTTCTACATGGTACAACTCATACAATTTAAAATTTCATCATTTGGAACTGAGTGAGAAATAGAAGACGACAGGTTTTTCTCCCTGAGCAATTATTTTCTACAGGAAAAATCAGGAACAATAAAACAGAAATTCAAGCTCACCTGTCTGCTTGGTCCTTGTTTTCTCCTCTATATACATTACTGAGCCAGATATAAGGTTGCTTCTGGAAGCCTGAAGGAGCCTTGAGCAAACAAGTTTATTACCACCTTCTACTGCCCAAAGGCCAGAATCAGCACCAGCTAGTGAAACTACACCTGTAAGCAGTAGGGAAAAAAATGTGTTTTAATCCTACCTCTGTAAGAGGCCCTCCACCCACTCTCCCTTCCCAATTAGGTGAGTTCTCCTTCAAATGTATCCACACATTGCCAAATGGCCTCTAGGGACAAAATCTCCCCATTGAGAACCATTCAACTAATGAAAGCTAAGGACTCTCTCCCCATAAAATTGCACATTTACACAATTTTGCCAACAATGTCTAAGGTTTCACAGAGAAAGGTAGCCTTCTCCAACTCATGGCTTAGGTCAGGAGTCATCATAACACCAGGTAAGCCCCTCTGTGAACCAATTTTATAACTGTTCCAAGCTGTGGCTTACCTACAAAGCTATTGATGCCTGTGCCTTGGCCATAATTGAGTCTATTAATGGGAACAATCATTTCATCAAGGAATTTCTCAGAGAAGCCTGCTTTCTGCAAGGTTTCAAGAATTGTTCGGTTAAGCATTCCAAGGAAGTCATCCCCTCCTAGAGAATGTAGTAAGTTTTCTACACTACTGAAGGCATAGTCATGAGACTGGTAGCGGTAGATCCTTTTGAAAAAAAAGAGAAATGGCCATTAAACACCAAACAAGACAGGGGTAAGGGGATGCATAAAGAAGGGAAATAGCATCATAAGACTCAAACTGACTTTCATGTTTCTCTGATGAGTTCCTAGTTATCATGTGAGATACACCTCAGCCACCATCTTCCCCAGATATCCCAGAAGCTCTCAGCCCTCCCTCTCCCTTTGCTTCCTCTGGAAGGTCACTGTCCTTTGCATACACTCTTCGGCATTACTATGGTCATGGAAGCACCTTTACAGAAGTGGGTATGTCTTGTTCTCATTCATCTTTTTATCTTCCAGTAACACTTAGACATGTCTAAAATTACAACTATCTTTCCACCAGGCTTGATCCTCTCCACCCACTCCCTATCCCAAACAAAAATAACAGGACACACCTAACATCCTACATGTCCTCCTCAGTTCATTCAGTTTCAAACTTAAATGTTTTCACTTCTCCTTTCTGCTTCTCCTAGCCAAGAAGGAAACCTTATCAATTTAACATCTCTCTGGTTACTTCATGCTCATTTTCCTGATCTCGAGTCAGGATTTATATTCAAACTACCAAAATGAGTAACTGATTTACCTGCTCTAGTTTCTTTCAATAAACCTCCCAGAAGCCCTAAAATACCTCTTTTATTTTGTAATCTATCCATTTATTCAAAATACATCTTGCTTACAGTTGCTTACTAAATAAAGTCCTGACTTTTTTTTTCTGTTTTTTAAATCATAAATTTTAGAGCCAAACACATCAACTCTAATTCCTTTGCTCTAAATGCAGATAAACAAAGTAGAAGTAATAAAACAATGTGTTGAGCACTCGTCAGTGTGGCTCAGTTGGTTAGGCGTCAACCTGTGCACCGAAAGGTTGCCAGTTTCATTCCCAGTCAGGGCACTTGCCCAAGTTGCAGGCTTGATCCCCAGTAGGGGGAGTGCAGGAGGTAGCCCATCATGTTTCGCTCTTACATCAATCTCTCGCTCTCACTCTCTCTCCTCTCTTCCTTCCTCTCTAAAAATCAATTTTTAAAAACCTTTTTTTAAACAATTTTAAATTTTTTTTTTTAAATCCTCACCTGAGCTCTGGCCAGTTTGGCTTAGCGGCCCGGGGACCAGAGAGACCCGGTTCGGTTTCCGCTAAGGGCACGTACCTCAGCTGCAGTTAGTTCCCTCCTGGGCCAGGGTTGTGTAGGTAGCAACCAGTCGATGTGTCTCTCTCACAGCAATGTTTCTGTCTCTCTCTTCCTCCCTCTCTATCTGAATATAAATGTAAAAAAAAAAAAAAAAAAGTCCTCGGGTTAGGATAAAAAATTAATTAATTAGCCCTGGCAGGTTTGGCTCAGCGGTTAGAGCGTCGGCCTGCGGTCCTGAGAGACCCCGGATTCAGTTCCCGCTAAGGGCATGTACCTCGGTTGCAGTTTGTCCCCGGCCCTGGTCGGTTGTGCGGGTGGCGGCCACTCGATGTGTTCCTTTCACATCGATGTTTCTCTCTCTCTCTCTCTGTTCCTCTCTCTCCCTCCCACTCTACCTGAACAAAAAATGGAAAAATGTCCTTGGGTGAGGATAAAAAAATAAAAAAAATTTTAATTAATTAATTAAATCCTCACCCGAGGATATTCTTCTATTTATCTTCACAAAGGGAAACGGGGAGAAAGGGGCAGAGAAAAGGAGAGACAGAGAGAAACATCTACCTAAGAGGGATACATCAACTGGTCACCTCCCGCATGATCCCGACCAGGGCCTAGGACCAATTGTAACCAAGGTACATTTTCTTGGCCGGAATCAAACCTGAGACTCATTGGTCCACGAGCCAATGCTCTAACCACTGAGCCAAACCAGCCAGGGTAAAAATCTTTTAAGAAATAAAATGAAATAACTTGTTGAAAAATCACATGGCAAGTAGAAGTCTCAAGCACAACTTGCCCCCTCTACCCTCAACCCCCCTACACACACACATATACACACACATCCCCTCCACTTGAGCACACCTGACTCATTCACTGGTCTCCAAATATACTCTGCATATTATTCCCCAAAATTGTACTACCTCTTCCCTCCAACTGGACTACACTTCCCATTCCTAAATACAGAACACTTACACTCCCTTCACAGCTTGAATCACACCTCCTTTGCAAAGTCTTGCCCAACTTCTCAGTTCAGTGATATCATCTCCAAAAGTCCCACAAAACTTAGCACCCATGCCGCTCATTCATCATTTATATACTACATTGTATTATTTAATTTTTAGAAAATATCACCTGATATTTCTCTGCACATTATGGACTTAAAAAGAATATCCACATACATTTAGTTCATACAGTAATTCAATACATAATTTTTCAGATTAGAAGTGATACAGACTTCCTCTTGACTTCCCCCGTGAAGGCAAGGACCGTGTGGGCTCGAGGCTGACGGGGCTGCTGGTTTGAGAGGACCTGTCAGCCCTGCTGGCTACCATGTCTGCCCAGGTGCAGATGCAGGCCCTGCTGGACCAGCTCATGGGGACGACCCGGGACAGTTCAGTGTATCTTTGCCTGCCTACATCAATCTGCAAGGGAGTTGTAGAAAAGCCTCATGTTCATTGAGCTGAGATAAAACTAGACAGAGGGTGAAGTTTACAGATGACCAAGTCTGTAAGAGCTACCTTCTAGACTGCTGCCCCCATGACATCCTGGCTGGGATGATGAATGCAAAAATGTCCTCGGGTAAGGATAAAAAAATAAATATATAAAGTTACCAGAAAAAAAAGAAAGAAGTGATACAAAAATGAGAAAGACACAGTTCCTTTTCTTCAAGCTTACTTACAGTAGGAACAGGTAATACATGCACAACAAGTATATGAAAAAAAAGGAAGAAATAAGTGCCAAAAAAAATCTCTATCAGTGATCAAGGAAAGAGAGGTTTACATCAACTTTCTTCTCCAAAATAAACTGGGGACAGTGTCATAACCATTTCAATATTACCTACTGTTTACCAGTGTAGTGTACAAAATGTTAAATAAATTTTTGTGGGGAAAAATAATATAAGTGCAAAAACTGAGAAACTAAAATAACTCCTTCCAACTATATCATTTGGCTTCTGGGTACTAAGAACTTGGAAAAAGTCGGATGAACGGGGTTCTTTAGAAAAAGAATAGGCTGGCCCTGGCCGGTTTGGCTCAGCGGTTAGAGCGTCCGCCTGCGGTCCGTAAAGACCCGGGTTCGGTTCCCGCTAAGGGCATGTACCTCGGTTGCAGTTTGTCCCCGGCCCTGGTTGGTCGTGCGGGTGGCAGCCACTCGATGTGTCCCTTTCACATCGATGTTTCCCTCTCTCTCTCTTCCTCTCTCTCCCTCCTACTCTGTCTGTACAAAAAATGGAAAAATGTCCTCGGATGAGGATTAAAAAAAAAAAAAAGAAAAAGAATAGGCTGAATATCTCATTCAACAAAGAGTGCCAAACGTAGAGTGACCATTGGCTAGATCAGCATGACAAAAGTAACTTATATATGATGTTATAAAAACTTATTCCCATAAAACAACAAGTGCTAGAGAAGATATGAAGAAAAGGGACCTTTAGTACACTGCTGGTGGGAATGCAAACTAGTGCAACCACTATGGAAAAGAATACAGTGTTTCCTCAAAAAACTAAAAATGGGAACTTCCATTTGACTCAATGAGTCCATTTCTAAGAATATATCCCAAGAAGCCTGAAATACCAATCACAAATAATATATGCAACACTATGTTCACAGCAGCATTATTTATAATACCTAAGATCTGGAAACAGCCCAAGTGCCCATCAGTAGATGAATGGATAAAAAAGCTGTGGTAGCTGTCCAATTTTTTTGCATGTAAGTTGATGGTCTAGTTTCATTTTTTTGCATAAATGGTGTTGGGAAAATTGGACAGCTACATTCAAAAAAAATGAAACTAGACCAACAACTTACACCATATACAAGAATAAGCTCAAAATGGATAAAAGACTTAAATGTGACTCATGAATCCATAAAAATCCTAGAAGAAAATGTAGGCAACAAAATTTCAGACATCATATGCAGCAAAATTTTCAATGATACATCCCTTAAGGCAACAGAAACAAAGAAGAAAATGAACACGTGGGACTACATCAAACTCAAAAGCTTCTGCACAGCAAAAGATACAATCATCAAAACGGAAAGGCTACCCACTGTATGGGAGAGCATAATTGCCAATGATATATCAGATAAGAGGTTCATTTCCAATATATATAGAGTGCTCATACAACTCAACAAAAGGAAGACAAAGAACCCAAGTAAAAAATGGGCAGAGGAACTAAATAGACACCTCTCTAAACAGGACATACAAATGGCCAAGAGTCATATGAAGAAATGTTCAACATACTAATCATCAGAGAGGTGCAAATTAAAACATCAATGAAGTATCACCTCACACCTGTCAGAATGGCCGCCATCAACAAATCATCAAACAACAAGTGTTGGCGAGGGTGTGGAGAAAAGGGGACTCTAGTACACTGCTGGTGGGAATGCAGACTGGTGCAGCCACTATGGAAAACACTATGGTGTTACCTCAAAAAATTAAAAATTGAACTGCCATTTGACCCAGTGATCCCACTTCTAGGAATATACCCTAAGAAGCCTGAAACACCAATTAGAAAGAATATATGTACCCCCATGTTTGTAGCAGCACTATTTACAATAGCTAAGATCTGGAAACAGCCCAAGTGTCCATCAGTAGACGAATGGATAAAAAAGCTGTGGTACATATACACAATGGAGTACTATGCAGCTGTAAGAAAGAAAGATCTCTTATCCTTTGAGATGACATGGAGGGACCTAGAAAATATTATCCTAAGCGAAACAAGCCAAACAGAGAAAGACAAGTATCATATGATCTCACTTATTTGTGGAATATAATGAACATAACAGTCTGAAGAATGGGATAGTCCCAGAGACGTGGAAGTGGGGTACAGACTGGCAATGCCCAAAGAGGTGGTGGTGGGGGAGAGATAAACCACAGAACTTATATGCATAAACAATGGACATGGACAACAAAGCTGGGAACAGGGCAGGGAGGGAGGGGGAGGGGGGAATCAGTGGGGGGAAAAAGGAGAAACATCTGTAACAAAAATAAATTAATTAAATAAAAATAAAAAAATAAAATAAAAAGCTGTGGTACATTTACACAATGGAATGCTATGCAGCTGTGAAAAAGAAAGAGCTCTTACCCTTTGAGATGACATGGAGGGACCTGGAGAGTATTATGCTAAGTGAAATAAGCTAGGAAGAGAAAGATAAGTATCACATCATCTCACTTATCTGTGGAATATAATAAACAAAATAAGCTGACAAACAAAACAGATCCAGAGACATGGAAGTAGGGAACAGACTGACAAACCTAGTAGGGTGCGGGAAAATAAACCAAAGAACTTATATACATATATGCATAACCAATGAACACAAACAAACAATACAGTGAAGTGGGAGGAGCAAGGAGGAGGGTGTCAATGGGGAATAAAAGGAGGGACATCTGTAATACTTTCAACAACAATAAAGATACATTTTTTTTTTAATCCTCACACAAGGATATTTTTCTATCTTTGTTCAGATAGAGTGGGAAGGGGTGAGAGAGAGAAACATCGATGTGAGAGGGACACATTGACTGGTTGCCTCCCGCATGACCCCAGATCAGGGCCAGGTAATGAATTGCAACTGTGGTACGTGCCCTTGACCTGAATCAAACCTGAGACTCATCAGTCTGCAGGCCGACGCTCTAACCACTGAGCTAAACCAGCCAGGACAAGATACAGTACATTTTTTTAAATGATTCCCCACCTCCTCCCACCTAAGCCCCAACCCCACTCAAGCAAGCCTCCTAAGTAAAGCCTCCTAGAGGGTGACATGAGACAACATACACCATATAAACACGGAGCATTTTAACTGTTTTACAATACTAGTTGCATTAGAATACATATTTACTAAAATGTTAAACATGTGAGGAACTAGCAGGTTATGCTAATTGGGTTGTTTATACAGCTTTTTTTCTTTTCAAAATATATTTGTATAACCCTTAACACTTATTTATTCATTCATTTATTCACTCAAATATTTATGGAGCAGCAGCTTTGATCCATGCAATGTTCAAGGATGCAGAGGTCAATACAACAGAGGAAAAAAATAATCCATGCCCTAATGAAGCTTGTGTTCTAGTAGAGAAAATAGGTAACAAATAACTGAATAAGTTACATAATTTAGAGGATGATAAGTATTAAGGAAAAAAGTAAACCAAAAAGGAAGATTAGGACCCTGGCCAGTGTGGCTCAAGTCGTTGGACATTGTTCCGTGAACCAAAAGGTTGTCAGTTCAATTCCTGCTCAGGACGCATACAAGAATCAACCAATACATAAATACATGAAACAACAAATCTCTCTCAATCTCTCTTTCTTCTTCCCTCTCTCCACCCCTATTCTTTCTCTCTGTCAAATCAATAAATAAAAATTTAAAAGAAAAAAGAATCAACCAGTGAATGCACAAATGCATGGAGCAACAAATTGGTTTCTTTCTCTCTCTAAAATGAATAAATGTGAAACAAAAGAAAATGATACATACAGGTGGCACTGCATCTGATGCCAATGAAACTGGATTTTCCTGCTGAGTGTGTAGCAACATGCCCATACCTATCTTCTTCAAAGAGTAACTGCCTGTCTCTACATAAATTCTATATATATTGTTTTAAGTGTTAGAAATTGTATTCAAGTTAACAATCCACAAGGTCATATTCATACAAATCAAACTAAAATATTCTGGGCATACAAACTATCATCTCTGTTAACCTGCCGTCTTTCATCTCCAGCTGTCAAAAATGGACTTATTTTAATGACACAAAAAGTCTTAAGAAAATCAAATCCATTGTCCATTTATGTTGGGTAAGAACCCTGTTAACCTGCCTGTCTTTCATCTCCAGCTGTCAAAAATGGACTTATTTTAATGACACAAAAAGTCTTAAGAAAATCAAATCCATTGTCCATTTATGTTGGGTAAGAACCCTGTTGTCTTCATTCATTTCCTGAAATCCATTTTATACTTTTTTTTTTATCCTCACCCGAGGACATTTTTCCATTTTTTGTTCAGATAGAGTGGGAGGAAGAGGAAGAGAGAGAGAGAAACATTGACGTGAAAGAGACACATCAAGTGGCTGCCACCCGCACAACCAACCAGGGCCGGGGACAAACTGCAACCGAGGTACATGCCCTTAGCGGGAACCGAACCCCGGTCTCTCTGGACCGCAGGCCGACGTTCTAACCGCTGAGCCAAACTGGCCAGGGCCTGAAATAAATTTTAGCGGGAACCGAACCTGGGTTTTTTGTTTTGTTTTGTTTTTTTTTTAATCCTCATCTGAGGACATTTTTCCATTTTTTGTACAGATAGAGTGGGAGGGAGAGAGAGGAAGAGAGAGAGAGGGAAACATCGATGTGAAAGGGACACATCGAGTGGCTGCCACCCACACGACCAACCAGGGCTGGGGACAAACTGCAACCGAGGTACGTGCCCTTAGCGGGAACCGAACCCGGGTCTCTCCAGACCGCAGGCGGATGCTCTAACCGCTGAGCCAAACCGGCCAGGGCTTGAAATAAATTTTAAAAGAACCCTGTCTTGGTTGTGAATTATCAGAGCACTCTGGCATTAATCAAGTTTCCTCTATTCTCCACAGTGGACTGCCATCTTGATTTCTCAGTGGTAGGGTCCATTTGGGACTCTTCAAGCTAACTGGATGCAAATGCTCCCACCAACATCTATTCCCTTGTACAGGCTCTGTAGAGATTCAGTCTCAGGATTTACATTTTTGGTATATAAAACACACTTTACACTCTGGCCAGTTTGGCTCAGCAGTTAGAGCGTCAGCTCACAGACCAGAGAGGCCCAGGTTTGGTTCTGGCTAAGGGCACGTACCTCAGATGCAATTTGTCCCCAGCCCCAGGTGGGGTTGTGTGGGTGACAACCACTCGAAGTGTCTCTCTCACATCGATGTTTCTCTCTCCCTCTCTCCCTCCTGCTCCGTCTGAAGATAAATGTAAAAAAAAAAAAAAAAGTCCTCAGGTGAGGATAAAAAAAATACACTTTCCCAAAGATTTCCTTTATCCTCAAAGATAAAACCCAGTGGTCTCAGTCTTCAAATGGTTTGTCTCAAATAAAAGAGCTGTATTTGTTCAAAAACAAATTTAATTTTAAGCTTATAAATTACTGGGTCAGAGCGTGGCTGCCGGGACCTTAAGCTCACCCAGGCGATTTCTGCACCAGAACTCCGTCCTGCACCTGGTCCAGCCACTGAGCCACAGAGACTCCAAGGCCACAGCCCGGGCCTGGCTCCACCCTCCTGCCCCCATCTTGGTGACCACAGCCCCAAGTCCCCATGCCTATATATTTTTTCTTAGTTACTTTTCTTAGTTTATTGCTTATCTGTCTACTAGAATGTATATTTTTTGAGGGCAGGGGCATGTTCCAGATTGAACATCCTCAGGACCTAGAATAGTGCCTGTCACATAACAGGCACATATGACATGTAATTTTACCTTTTCCATAATTCTTTCATTACATTGGAAAAGTCATAGTAATGAAATATTAGTAACATTTACAAGTTGAATATCTCCACCATCTAAACTAGTAAACCAGCCCCGGCCCGTAGCTCAGTTGGTTAGAGCATCATCCCCATATGCCAAGGTTGCAGTTCCATCCTTGGTCAGGGCAAATAAAAGAAGCAACCAATGAATGCACAAATAAATGGAACAACTAACTGATGTCTCTGTCTGTCTCTCTCTCCCCCCTCCCCTTCCTATCTCTCTCTAAAATCAATAAATAAAATTTTAAAAGTAAACCAGCATAAAAATTAGCACTGCAGTAGACTTAAAAAAATAGGTTGCATTTTTCAAAGTATACTGGTTATTTTATGTTATTCTTCCTAATTACCAAAGCAATGCACGTTCATACACACAATTTTGAAAATACAGAAAAACATAAAGAAAAAGAAACACCTGTATTGTCACTCCCCGGGTCTGTGCTGGAATTTAACATCTTTATTTAAATTCTTAGGGCACAGAACTGATGTCCTATATCAAGTTCCTGACTCACTAAAACATCATGTCACAATTAAAGCTCATTTTTCTGATCCTTTCTGCAAGCTCTTGCACACATGACCTCATTTATCTAATACTTAACACCAGCACAGGGCAGAGATTAAGAGGGAAAACTAGAGGCAGCCTGCCTGGGTAAAAACTCTGGTTCTACCACTAACAGGTGGGTATATTTGCACACCTGAAACTTCTCCATGCCTCCACCTTCCATATCTGTAAACAGAAGCTAATAAACAGTACCTACCTAGAGAGCTATTGTGAGAATTCAAGAAGTTACTATTTGTAGAGCATTTGAGTGTCCAACAACACTAAACAAACATTTGCAAAATACATTTTCAGAAGCAAAAATAAACTACCTTTTCAATTTCCAAGGGGATAAATGGTCTGCACATTTTATATAAAACATTTTGCCTAACAAAAAGGCCTTGCAGTTAGGTAGAGAACTGTTCCAAGAAACCATAATTCCTAACAATCATCTAACGAAAACATCTTAGGTTAAATGGAAGGGGAAAAAAATTACCTCATAAACTTGTCTAATACATCTTCTACCCACATGTGCATTCGAAGGGGCTGAAATCCATACTGCCAAATTAGTTTAATTATATTAATTATAAACCAGCTGCTCTCCTCAAACACCAGAGTCTTTCCATTAGAGACTCCTATTAGGCCACCAGAACTCTGAACAGTAGAGAGACCTGCAAAAACAGAGAAAGGGTAGCCAAGTCAGTAGTTTCTATGCTGATCAAATGAAAGGTAATCTGAAACTACTGGGGACACTCTGAAGTGAGTGAATTCGGGAACTCCCCCAGTTATCAGGGTACATATTAAAGACGCTCTATCTTTAGAACAGTGATATGATACACTACACACTCACTACACATCCCAAAAGCAAATTCTCTAAAAGATGGGTTAGATGATCATGCAGATAATATCCAAATTAGAGTGGCTATTTTTAGTCTAAAGAGTCTAAAAAGTCCAGAAAAACCCAGAGTACCAACTAAAGTCAACTTAAAAACAGAAATATCAGGCATGAATCTTTGCAGCATAAATTGCTCCTGGCACACATGTGCACTCATGAAGAAAACAGAGGCTCAGGAAGCATCCACAGGAGATGTGGAAGGTAGCTAACAGAAAGGCATCATCCTAGTCCTGGTCGAATACTACTTTGCATAACTGAATATTTCAGATAACTGGAAGGAGGCCAATATTACCCAATATTCCTTGAGTAAAGGGCCTGCAGAGGCCTGCCAGATTTCCCTTAACAACCTCTGTCCAGCTCCTCTGCTGGTAGGGAAGTAGTCAGACAGATGTCCCACCTCCTAAGCACGTCTGTACCCACAGCTTCGTGAATGACTTTTAAGCCAGACACTTCAAGCCTCTGGGCTTCATTTCCCCCAATATAAAATGAGCATACTAGGTTTCTGCTAACTCAAACCATTCTTTGATTCAACAGAAACCCACAGGCTGAAGAACTGACAACAGCAACCATCCCCACCCAAACCCCTACTCCATGGCTGTAATTCCAGATAACTTAAGATACTGATAACCAGTGTCCCATTACAGAGAATGCCTCCTAACTAAGGCAGAACCAACTGCTAGAAGGAAAGTGAGGAAAATAGTTTCACCAACTTGTCTGTAAAGGACCATTAACAAGGTGGAAAAGTTTCAATTCCCTATCTGATAAAAATATTCATGGATAGTCATGCAGAAAGCTGTGTATCTCTCAGACCAAATTACACACCCAGGTCCTTGACAAAACGCTTCATGTGTAGATTCAGAGGATGGATGACAGAACCTCCTGCTTCATATTCTTGCCCCTGTATAGCAGTGGTGGCCAGACGGCCCCCCACCTCTCCTCTTTCAAACAGGTCAATCTTCACATCTTTCCCAAATTTCTGCCGCAGATAATAGGCTGCTGAAGTGCCACCAATTCCAGCTCCAATGATCGCTATGGGGTGAAAAAAGGAACAATTTATTTCCCTCTTACCAGCTTTATGAGTTTCGTTGTTTTTGAAAGTCCATTAAGCAATAACGGATGTTACTTAAGGCTGTTAGGCACAATTTAGGGAAGGCTGAATAAAGGTAGGCCAGTTCTGTCTTGCAGAGAAGACAGAACTCTGAATCTGCACACACACTGCCCCCAGACAAAAGGGGCAGTAAATTAAGTTACAAATGGACAGTAATTAGATTTATTTTGCCAGATGCCCAAAGAGTCTCACAGTTCTTTGTGGAGGCACCCGTGGGCCTGAACAACCTTCTTTGTACCCAACTCATGGGAGCAGAGGAGGTGGGTCTTTCCAGCACGCATTTTAAATGAAGTGGCCGCCATTTTGCCTAGATTTGTTTCATTAATTTAGACAGGTTAGTGATCCCAACAAAGTTTTAAAGGGAGTAAGAAACAGAGCAAAACCAAACCAAAAGGAAGCAGCAGCAGCAGCAGCAGCAGCAACAACAACTGAAACTAGAAAGGGAGGATTATTTCAGCCGTGTAGCCATCCTGGCAGGGAAACCGTGCAAGCCAGGGGCCTCTGGAGCAGGACGACCGCAGCGAAGCGGAGAGGGGAAGCGGAGAGGGCGGTTCAACCCGACGAAGGGCAGCAGACGGGGTCAGCCTGCCTGCACTGACTGCTGGGTGCTGAGCCCGCACGCGCCTGTCATCTGCAGAGCGTAAGCCGCCCGCGGCTCCAAGCCAAACCAGAAGACCGGCCTCCCCAGGAGCAGCAGGGGAAGGCAGTGAAGGGAGCTCGGTCTCCCCCCACCACCAGCTTCCGAGACGGGGGCTGCAGGGACACTTGGATGCCGTCCGCCCGCCTGGTCCCCCTTCCACAGCCCATTCCTCAAGTGGGCACATTTCCACGACTGGAAAAACACGGTCTCTGAGGCACGGAAAGCGACACTGAGACGCGAACCGGGAAAATCGCAACCGACGCGGAGGGCTCGGTCCGCGCGGCCTGGCGGGCGTCGCGGCTGCGGGGCCCGGTGCACTACGCAGCGGCCGCCCCCCGCGCAGGGCGCACTCCTGCACCTCCTTCCGCGCCGCCCCGTTGTCACCTACCGATCTTATCTGGCGGGGCCTGCAGTTCGGTGCTCCCCGGGCACACCCAGCTGCACAACAGCAGCCACAGGCCCAGAAGCGACGGGACGAGCTCCTCCGCTGTACGACTCATGTCTCCCACGACGCAGCACAGCACTTTGGAGACCGGGAGCGCCGGACTGAGCTTCAGCCCACAGCTGCGCAGCTGCGCGCCCCGCCCCCCGGCCGGCCTCGCCCCTCGGAGCCCCGCCCAGGTTCTCCCCTTGCCCCTTCCGCCCCTGACACCCCAGTTCCACCCGTCCCTCCCGGAGTCCCGAGAAGCCTACCCTGCTTCAACGAAATACCGAGGGCACCAGAAGAAGTTCACCGAGTTCTTCCTTCCCATCTGTTTGGATGAAACACCTATTTCTTCACTTAAATCGCTCCCTCTCAAACAATGCACACAGCTAATCCCTGTCTAAAACAGACCAGTGGAGTTCCAAATACTTACTTACTGAGTGATCACTATGTTCCAGGGATTGTTGGGTACAAGATGTATGGGTAAATGACGCTATGTGAAAGGAAAAATGAGGGCGACCTGGGATGGGCTGGTCCAAGGTGAGGGGAGTGAAAAAGTAGTGTAGCCATACATACAGTGGAACACTATGCAAGCATTAAAGAGAATGTAGAACCAGTAACTATTGTCCCAGTATTGTTAGGTGAGAAAATGGGTGACCGAGTGATGGGTACTATTTGATCCCATTTCTGTAATTAAAATACTCCACCCACCTAGCCCCCCCCCCCAAATTAAAATTAACATATGAACATGAAGAACAGTATAGGTGGAAGGAGAAAATACGTTGAGCCCTGGCCGGTTTGGCTCAGCGGTTAGAGCGTCAGCCTGCGGTCCAGAGACACCCGGGGTCGGTTCCCGCTAAGGGCATGTACCCTGGTTGGTCGTGGGGGTGGCAGCCACTTGATGTGTCCCTTTCGCATCGATTTCACATCGATGTTTCTCTCTCTCTTCCTCTCCCTCCCTCTCTCTCCCTTCCACTCTATCTGTACAAAAAATGGAAAAATGTCCTCGGGTGAGGATGAAAGAAAAAAAAAAATGGAAATACGTTGGATAAAAGAAAGATGAAGCTTTTTCACAATGGGTTTGCCACCAGACACAGGTGTTGTGAAAAACACCACTAAATCGAAGCCAACATGGGAAAGGAAAGAGACTCATCAACATCGCAGTGATTGAACAGGTAGATTCTGGCAAGTCTACCACTACTGGCTATCTGATCTACAAATGTGGTGGGATTGACAAAAGAACCATTCAAAATTTGAAAAGAAGGCTGCTGAGATGGGGAAGGGCTACTTCAAGTATGCCCTGGGTCTTGAATAAACTGAAAGCTGAAAGTGAGCGTGGTATCACCATTGATATCTCCCTGTGGAAATTTGAGACCATCAAGTATTATGTGACCATCATTGATGCCCCAGGACACAGAGTCTTTATCAAAAACGTGATTACAGGCACATCTCTGGCTGACTGTGCTGTCCTGATTGTTGCTGCTGGTGTTTGTGCATTTGAAGCAGGCATCTCCAAGAATGGGCAGACCCACGAGCATGCCCTTCTGGCTTAACCACTGGGTGTGAAACAACTGATTGTTGGTGTTAACAAAATGGATTTCACTGAGCTGCCCTAAAGCCTGAAGAGCTATGAGAAAATTGTTAAAGAAGTCAGCATCTACATTTTTTTAAGTTGGCTACAACCCTGACACAGTAGTATTTATGCCAATTTCTGTTTGGAGTGGTGACAACATGCTGGAGCCAAGTGCTAACATGCCTTGGTTCAAGAGATGGAAAGTCACTCGTAAAGATGGCAATGACAGTGGAATCACGATGCTTAAAGCTCTGGATTGCATCCTGCCACCAGCTCATCCAACTGAAAAGCCCCTGTGTCTGCCCTTCCAGGAAGTCTACAAAATTGGTAGTATTGGTACTGTCCCTGTGGGTCAAGTGGAGACTGGTGTTCTCAAACCCAGCATGGTGATAACCTTTGCTCCAGTCTACATTACAACTGAAGTGAAATCATGTTGAAATGCACCATAAAGGTTTTTTTGTTTGTTTTTGTTTTTTTATCCTCACCCGAGGACATTTTTCCACTTTTTATTCAGATAGAGCAGGAAGGAGAGAAAGGAAGAGAAAGAGAAACATCGACATGAAAGGGACACATCGAGTGGCTGCCACCCGCATGACCCTACCAGGGCCGGGGACAAACTGCAACCGAAGTACATGCCCTTAGCGGGAACCAAACCCAGATCTCTCTAGACCACAGGCCGAGCCAAACCAGCCAGGGCGAAGTTGTTGTTTTTTTTTAATTTTTTTTTCCTTTGTTGATTTTAGAGAGAGAGGAAGGGAGAGGGAGAGAAATGTAGAAACATCGATGAGAGAGAGCATCAATTGGCTGCCTCCTGCATGCCCCCCAGTGGGGATTTGGCCCACAACCTGGGCATGTGCCCTGACCGGGAATCGAACCCACGATCTGTTGGTGCATGGGTCGACATTCAACCACTGGGCCACACCGGCCGGACTCACCAGGAAGCTTTGAGTGAAGCTCTTCCTAGGGACAATGTGGGTTTCAATGTCAAGAACATGTACATCAAAGAACTTTGTTGTGGCAATATGGCTGGTGACAGCAAAAATGACCCACCAGTGGAAGCAGCTGGCTGCACAGCTCAGGTGATTATCCTGAACCATCCAGGGCAAATTAGTGCTGGATATGCAGCTGTGCTGGATTGTCACACAGCTCATATTGCTTGAAAAGTTGCTGAGCTGAAGGAGAAGATGGATTGCCATTCTGGGAAAAAGTTGGTAGATGACCCAAAGTTTTTGAAATCTGGTGATACTGCCATCATTGATATAGTTCCTGGCAAGCCCATGTGCACTGAGGTTATCTGACTATCCTCCTCTGGGCCATTTTGCTATTGGTGACATGAGATAGACAGTTGCTGGGGGTATAATCAAAGCAATGGAAAAGAAGGCAGCCAGAGCTGGCAAAGTCACTAAGTCTGTCCAGAAAGCTAAATAAATATTATCCCCAATATCTACCATGCCAGTCATAGTAGTGGAAGAACAGTCTCAGAACTGTCTCAATTGGCCATTTAAATTTAATAGTAAAAGACTGGTGAGGGTTACAATGCATCGTACAAACTTCAGAAGGAAAGGAGAATGTTTTGTGGACCATTTGGTGTGTGTGTGTGGCAGTTTTTAAGTTATTCATTTTTTTGTTTGTTTGTTTTTGTTTTTTATCCTCACCTGAGGATATTTTTCCAGTTTTTGTTCAGGTAGAGTGGGAGGGAGAGAGAGAGAGAGAGAAACATCGATGAGAAAGGGACACATCGAGTGGCTGCCACCCGCATGACCAACCAGGGCCAGGGACAAACTGCAACCGAGGTACATGCCCTTAGCAGGAACCGAACCTGGGTCTCTCTGGACCGCAGACTGACGCTCTAACCGCTGAGCCAAACCGGCCAGGGCAATTTTTTAAATCAGTACTTTTTAATGGAAACAACTTGACCAAAAATCTGACACAGAATTTTTATTTTTTTATTTATTTATTTTAGGGAGAGGGAGAGAGCGAGAGAGAAACATCAGTGTGAGAGCAAAATATCCATCACTGCCTCCTGCATACTCCCTACCAGGGATTAAGCTTGAATCTTGGGCTTGTGCCCTGACTGGGAATAAAACCAGCAAACTTTCTGTGCACAGGATGATGCCCCACCAACTGAGCCACACTGGCCAAGAACATCACTGAATTTTGAGATCCCTTAAAACAATGAGAAACCTGCGTGTGTGTGTGTGTGTGTGTGTGTATGTTTAATTTATTGATTTTAGAGAGAGGGGAAGGGGAGAAAAAAACATAAAGTTGTTGTTCCACTCATTTATGCATTCATTGGTTGATCAAACCCACAATCTTGAACCTGTGTGTTCCTTCCTTTGATCAACACTTTAACTTTCTATTATGCTACTTAGGTAAAAGACTTAAGAGTTGCCCATAACCTATTTCTGGTGTTATATCTGCTGATATTTTAGAATTGGATAATTCTGTTAAGGTTTTATTCTAGGTGGGAACTTTATTGTTCACTTTGTCTTAGGGGAGGGATCTGTTTACATAGTAAAAGCTATGGGAGGGATTCTGTTGGTGCAACATTAAAAAGGTTAGTACAAATAAGCAAAGAGTAACTTAGTTTATATGTAAGCTAGTTTATAAAGGCCAAATTCTGTTATAATTCCACGTGTTACTTATAAAATTGTGTAGTTAACATCAATATTGAGTAAATGTATTAGTATATCAAATTTTAGTTTTCCAGTTTTACTGGAATATGAATTCACATTTACAAACACTTCGTAGTTTAAAGAACCTAAAATGAGGTTTAAATAGTATTGAGTACTGTCTTGCTACAGTTAATTGTATTCAGATTCTAGGGAAAATAAATGATACTAAAAAGAAAGAAGAAAGAGAGAGAGAGAAGGAGGGAGAGAGGGAGGGAGGGAAGAAGGAAAAGAAAGATTGAACGTGGAGAAAGGAAGTAGAAAATTCAGTGGGAAAAGCATTTATTCACTGGACGAATATTTATTGAGTTCCTTCTAAATGGCGGGATATGAGAAAAATCAGTGAACAAAACAAATTTTAAAAAAGATTTATTCTAACCCTGGCCGGTTTAGCTCAGCAGTTAGAGCGTCGGTCTGCGGTCCAGAGAGACCTGGGTTTGGTTCCCTGCTAAGAGCACGTACCTCAGTTGCAGGTTGTCCCAGGCCCTGGTTGGGTCGTGAGGGTGGTAACCACTCGATGTGTCCCTTTCACGTCAATGTTTCTCTCTCTCTCTCTCCCTCCCACTCTATCTGAACAAAAAAATGGTAAAATGTCCTTGGGTATGGATAAAAATATATATATATTTATTCTAATGAAGCTGACATTCTAGTGAAAGGAGACATGGTAATTAGAATAAATAAGTAAATCATGTATGAGGAATTGTAATGGGTTGCAATTTTAAATATAATGGTTAGGGTATGCCTCATTGAGTAGGATGGCATTTGAGCAAATTTCCAGGCAAGAAGACTGGTGCGTTTAAGGAACAGCAAGGAGGCCAGTGGAGCAGAGTAAGAAAGGGGGAGTGGAAGTGTTAATGGAACAAGATGCAAGTCTTACAAGAAATAAACACTTCCACTTAAGAACATGAAAATATGAAGGTTAAGTCAGTCCTCTTTTGCATTACATCTAGAAATTACAAAGAAAGAACTAAACTATGTGTGTTTTTTACTTTCCTATTTTCAAATTGCATTATGCCCACAACAGCTAAGTGCATTAAGCCTACTACACCCTCAATAAATTTCTGTTGGTTAATTAGATTTGAGAATGTAAATCACCTTAACACAAGTGTTATATTTGGAAAATTTCATTTCTGCTACTGATACCTTGGGAAAGTTTAGTGAAAGGACACAGTGAAGAGACAGTGTAAAAGACAAGAAAAGTAGGAGAAGTGGGAGGTAGATCGAAGGCTGTCTTATTCTACACTCTTGCCTTTTAAAATAATACTGCCACTGAAACTCAGACAGATTTTTTTAAACATCATGCGGGGTGGAGGGTGGGGGAGATATTACCTCATATATGAAGGGTAATAATAAGGTAATGTAACAAACATTTATTCAAAGAGTGCTGTTCAAAAAAGCAATCTCCCTAGAAAGCAAAACACTTAAGATTCTCTCCTTCAAACTCTAACCCCGCTCCTCTGAGCCCTCTTCTTGACTAGGCCTCAACTTTGGCCTATAAAGACTTGAACAAAGTACTAACATAGTTTCTAACAGCTCAGAGCTGCCTCTTTGGAATAATCCTAATTCCCCCTAAAGTGCCTGAGAAAACTCAAGGTTCCCCAAATAATTTACTGTTTGCTCCATCCAACACATGAAAATAGAGCCGTGTCCCAATCTCTATGGGATTGTAGGAGCCTAACTGATACATACCGATCCCCCATTCTCAATTTTTATGATCTTTCACTTTCCTGACTTTACTGGGCACCTGCTCATCCCCTCCCTACTTCTTCATTCTTCCTTGAAAGGGCCAAGTCACCTCTGCATAAATCAAAGTTCAGTTCATGCTGTACTCTTTTCCCCATTGTAATAGAATATTATGATTAAAATTTAAAATTTAGTGTTTGGCTTTACCTTTGACAACACTCAAATCTATAATTCTGTATCTGCTCCATGCCTTTTTTCTTCTTTGAAACTACCTTAAAGAAATTCATTTTCATACCATTTTACTTCTTCACATCTCACTTCTTTCTTATTCTAAATATTCTAAATGATATTAATTCTGTCTTAGACAAGACAGGTATTTCAAAACTGATATAAGAAAATATAAACATATCTGACTACAAAAAACAAACATTTTCTAAAGAATTTAAAAAGTTTTTAAAAATAATTCATGAGAAGAAATTTTTCCACTAATAAAACAGACAAGAAGCCCTGGCCGGTTTGGCTCAGCAGTTAAGAGCGTCGGCCGGCGGTCCAGAGAGACCCTGATTCAGTTCCCGCTAAGGGCATGTACCTCAGTTGCAGTTTGTCCCCGGCCCTGGTTGGGTTGTGTGGGTGGCAACCACTTGATGTGTCCCTTTCACGTCGATGTTTCTCTCTCTCTCTCTCTCTCCCCCCCCCACTCTACCTGAACAAAAAATGGAAAAATGTCCTCGGAAGAGGATAAAAAACAAAACAAAACAAACAAACAAAAAAACAGACAAGATTGTGGTATATATCACAAACATACAAAGAGTTCTACAAATTGCTAAAAAGAGATGAACAACTCAATATAAATATGGACCAAGTCTATGAATACACAATTTATAAAAAAGAAAGCAAGTTCAATGTTCAAAAAAATACACATGAATAGATGCTCGACTAAAGTAGTAGTTTAGACGAATTAAAATTAAAACAAGAAGATACTATTTTTTATGTATGATATGGGCAAAAATTAATAAGACTAATAACATCTTACTGCAGGAGAAAATACGGTAGAGTGGTTAGAGATCTCGAGAAATGACTTTCAAATATTGTTGGTGGGGGTGTGAATGACTAAAACTTCTAAAAACAGTTATTTATTAAGATGTATACCTATACTGCCCAGCCAGTGTGGCTCAGTGGTTGAGCATCATCCCATGCACCAAGAAGTCACTGGTTCAATTCCGGGTCAGGGCACATGCCCAGGTTGTGGGCCCAGTCCCCAGTAGGGGGCATGCAGGAGGTGGCCAATGGATGTCCTCTGTCATCGATGTTTCTCTCTCTCTCTCCCTCTCCCTGTTTCTATCACTCTCTCCCTCTCCCTTCTTCTCTCTCTAAAAATCAATAAAGAAAAAAAAAGATATATAGCTATACTATTTAATTCAGAAATCCTATGTTTGGGAATCTATTCTACAGAAATAAAAGAATCAGTTATAAAAATATATGTACAGGATGCTTATTACAATATTGTTTGCAGTAGGGAAAAAAAGGAGTAACCTGAATGTCCATCAATATTGTATCTATGGTCATTTGAACAATTTAACATTGAATAAACTGTGGCAAATTCATTCTATGGACTATTTTGCAATTATTTTAAAAATTAATTAGATCTGTATTAGTTGAACTGGAAACACCCATAATGTAAGTTTAAGTTGGAAAAGAAACTTGCAAAGTAATGTCCATAGCATAACCACATTTTTTTTAATTAACAAACAACCCCGAGTACTTATATACATGTGCATCTGTATGCATATAAAGTAAGATGTGGAAGCTTATAGACTAATCTGTTAACATTAATTACCTCAAGAGAGGAAGAATGAGGGAATTACTAATCTCTTCCTTATTTACCTATATTGTTTCACTTGTCACAGTGAGCATGTATTACTTTTCCAACTTTGAAACTCGAATCAAGTTTTCAATAAAACTTTATTAATAAATATAATATATAAGAAATAAAGTAATAAAGATCTAATAAAGTTTTTAAAGCTTAAAAATGACTTCTGCTATATCCATACAATGAAATTTTATTTGGCTACAAAAAGGAATTAAGTATTGATATATGCTACAACATGGATTAACCAAAAAAGCATAATGCTAAATTAAAGAAACCCATAACAAATGACCACATACATTATTGCATGATTCCATTTACTTGAAATGTCTAAAACAGGCAAATCTATACAGTCAGATTAGTGGACTGGAGAGTGGGGTGGGATGGGGAATAGGGACTGGCTGCTAATAGATAAGGGTTTCCTTTTTGGAGTGATTAAAATGTTCTACAATTGATTATAATGATGGTTGCAAATCTCTGTGAAAACACCAAAACCACTAACCTGTACTTTAAATGGACAAATTGTAAGTTATGTGAATTATATTAAAAAGCTGTTAGAAAATACTATCCACCGTTAACATTTGTCTTATTTATCTCTTTAAATAAAGTTCAAAAAAATGTGCTACTGATTCTAAAGACAATTCCAAAAACGGAAATCCAAAAGTATCACAGTATAAAGGAACTACTTCCAAGAGGACATCACATTTTGGATGTGCACATTCTCCTATATTTAAAAAAAAAATTTCACGTAACTTATGAAATGCAATACAAAATGCATAATGGGTACATTAAACCACATTTCAAAGCCCTTATTTTTCTGCTTCCCCTCAAAGAGGACTGAAATTTTGTATCTCCTGACTCATTTGGTTTTAGGATAATTTTGATCAATTTGCATTAAATAATTATTTAAAAAATATTTTCCAATGTACATTGAGTATACCACAAAAATGCAAATAAAAAAAAATTCAGCAAAGATCTGGAAATACTTTCCTGGCTCTCAAAAATCTGATTAATACAAACAAGACAAATTCTTCTTGATGAAATTTTTACTTTTTAAAAATAGATACATATGTCCGGCCGGTGTAGCTCAGTGGTTGAGCGGCGACCCATGCAACCAGGAGGTCACAGCTTCAATTCCCCATCAGGGCACATGCCCAGGTTTACCCCGAACCCCAGTTAAGGGCAGGCAGGAGGTGGCCAATGATGGTCTCTCTCATGGATGTTTCTCTCTCTCTCTCTCTTTCTCTCTCTCTCTCTCTAAAATTAATATAAAAAAAAAAACAACTTTTAATAGATATAAATTATAGATTTTTTATTTTTATTTTTTAAATTAAAATTATTGGAGCGACATTGGTTAATAAAATTATATAGGTCTCCAGTGTACAGTTCTAAAATTCATTTTCTGTATATTACATTGTGTGCCCACCACTCAAAGTCAAATCTTCTTACCTCACCATATATTTAACCTCCTTTACCCTTCACCTGCCCCCATCCCCTTCCCTCTGATAACCACCATATTGTTGTAAGTTTTTGTCTGGAAACTTTTTTAAAATAAAAAAAATTTAATTGAACCTTTCCTGTACAGAAAAAAAGTAAGAACATCCATTCAATTGTATTTGGATTAGAGAAGAGAAATTATTTTTTATACCAACGAAAAACAACAGATTATAAACTCTCAGACTTCTATTTTTAAATGAATAAACAAATCATCCCCCGAACAGCGAATGTTCGTTTGTATTTAGTCCTAAAACATTTCAGCACAGCTTCTCACCAACAGCGCCGCTGGTGTAGTGGTATCATGCAAGATTCCCATTCTTGCGACCCGGGTTCGATTCCCGGGCGGCGCAGCCATTTTTCACTCCCGCCAAGAGATAAACATGAAGATTTTTTTTTTTAATTTTCTTCCTCTGGAAACATTTACAATTTTTAATTTTTATGAAAATTTCCATGTCATAATTCACTGCTGAAACACTCGAATCTGGAGAGGGAAGACAAATTTTCAAAAGACCAAAAGGCAAGTCCCGAAATAGTTAACCCTTACGCCTGCGCAGTCGGAGACATTCCGAATGTCGGACGCAGGGGAGGCTGCGCAACAAGTGGAACCTATGGATTGAGGTGCCGCTTCGCGGCCGGAAGGTTGAAAGTGCAAGATTATTCTGCGCCTGCGCGGTCCGGGCCACTTCGCTGGCTGCTCCTAGGCTCCCGGCTCGCCGCCATCTTGTACTGGGGCTTCATTGTTCGCGCTGGGCCGGGCGGTTTAGTGTAATTGCCGCCGAAGAAGGAGGCGGAGTAACCTCCGCTCAGCCGAGAAATCCCGCTATTCTGCATCCAGAGCCACTCAAACGTTTTGGGAGGTAGTAAAGGTTAGGGAGCTGGACTCAGAGGCGCCGCCGCGACAGCAGCAGCCATGGAGGACGAGATGCCCAAGACTCTGTGAGTCTGAGGCAACGATGAGGGGGGCGGGATGGTGGTCGTCCCGGAGGGAGGCCTTGGCCCTTCGCTGCTCCCCAGCCAATTGTCCACAGTGGACGCCGCGATATCACGATTCCCTCTCCTTAGCGCACACCTGGATGCTTAGGGACCGAAACCTGGGCTGTGAGAGGACGAGGTGGAGGGATTCGGGGCTCAACCCCTGGAATTAATCCCTTCGCCTTACACCACAGCGTGGCCTTTGGCCTCGCCACCTGCCCTCTGCGGTCTCGGGCCTGGAGACTAGACTTTTTCATTCAAACCCCTTTTTAGAACTCGGCGAACCTTCTTTTTGTCCCTTGCTTTCCTTTTTTCCCGCCCCCTCTTCTTCATTAAACTCTTTTGATCTGTCCAGCCGACTCCCTTTAATTTTACGTTGATTTCCAACTGAAACTCTTTTATTTATTTCGTTTTTCTGATTAATTCTTTTGAGGCTGCTTATACTCATTTTCAGTGAGGTAAACTTTATTCTCACAGTTGCCAAGTGGAAAAAAGCCAAATATTATTCTTTAACCTCTCTTTGGCTTTCCTTCAATAGCACTCCCTCCCCCGACCCCCCAACCAAAAAGCCTAAAACCGGACACACTAAGGATTTTGAAACTGCTTTTGAAAAATGGAACTCTCACCCGGAGGTATATATCAACTGAGGGGAGGTAGACGTAATACACTTTTATCATTGCTTGCTACTGTTATGATTGACATGTCGCCGAAAGAGCAGGCAGCTTTTATGAAACAACAGCTGATAAAAGCCATAACGTAATTAGTCACCTCTGAGAATTTTTACAGTGAGTGTTAAATGATCTCAGCTTTGGGTATTTTCTTTGTTGTGTCGTTTCCCCCACAGCATCCTCCTTTGTTTTTCAAAGTATGGTGGGATGAGTTGATTCTGTCATTGTTGCTTTTCGGGGGGGGGGGGGGGGAATCTGATGAGATTTTTTTACATGCTTTTTTGTTTATATTCTTAAAATATTGGCAGTTTAAGAACTCTGTGCCTCACAATTTTAGGTTTCTTTTGGGAACTCTATCTAGACATTATAGTTGTTATGAAGTACAATGTAATCAGTTATTTTTTTCTCCACCAAAAGTTTCTGTTTTTGTAATCTTTGTGAGAAATATAGTCACACTTGTTTTCTTAACATCAAACTTTTTGCTGGTTTATCTGATGATGTTAGTTACCTTAAGTATCTTTTTAATTGGATGCAGCAATTGGTACGTGAGCTTTGTTTTTTGAAAGATTATATCTGTAGGTGACTACTACCTAGAAAACTATTAGCCCCCCCATAGAGTTTATGGAAACCTTTTTTCCCTCTTATCTCTTTGCCAGAAGTATGATAGCCGGCAGTATATTGAGTTAAACATAGCTCATCTTTTATAATGTCTTCAAATTTAAAATTCTTAAATTATTTCAAAATTTTCAGTTTCAGAAACTGCCAGAAATATTCGGGATCTTAACCTTTTTAGCATGTTGATTTGGGAATATCAAATAATGAAGACAACTTCAGCTCTCTCAGGCCATTCTACAAAAGCAGTTTAATAGCTTGGGGACAGGAGACCAACCATTACAGGAGAAATAATGAAGGAGGTTTTGTTCTACAAATACGTAGAGTGCTTATGATTTGCAGTTCTGTGTAAGGTGCTCTACCTGTTTCTTTAATCCTCATTAGAACTCTGCAGTAAATGGGTCCAGTTTTGCAGCTGAGGAAAAGCTAAGCTTAGAATTGAAGTCACCCAAGGTCATATACCTGTTTGTTCATCTTCCTGCAACTCTTCTGTCCTCAGCTCTTAGCTCTTACACTTATGACAAATTTTGCCATGTATACTTAACTAGAACATCCCATCCAAGAATCCTTTTTCCAAAGTCCAAGCTCTAACATGTCCTACTGTGTCCTTCTTTGCCTCCACAGCCTTCAACCAAAGCTCCCATTCTTCCAGTGAGACCTATCTTGATTAGACATGAGTAGGTGCTAATTCCTAAGTTTTCCCATCAGTGTTTTTACTTTTAATATAAAAGTTTGTTTTAATGACCCTGGAAGTCAGGGGCTTTTAATATGTTCTTAGCACAGTATCTTTTTTGTGGTAAGTGATCAATTTGTTTTAAAAACTGGTATAATTCCAAGCAGTGAATTCAGATATTACTCATTCTTGGGGGTAAAATGTAGTCTGAATCTCAGTATCACCTATGGTATCTAAAAGGCTCAGAGAATATGCTTTCATTTGCAACAAGTAAGTGTTCAGCGTCACCTTGTTAAGTTAGAGATTGCCAATATTCAGTTTCTTGCCAGCAGTACTTTGGAAAAAATATATTGTGAGAAGTGAATTGATTCTGGAGATATTTTGAAAGTAGAGCAATAGCAGTTACCAGTGGATTGGATGTGGGATGTGAGAATGAAGTCAACAGTAAGTGGGTTTATTTACAAATGTGTAATTCAGTTATTTAAAATGATAGTTTGGCCCTGGCGGTTTTCTCAGTGGTTAGAGCGCTGGCCTGCAGTCCAGAGAGACTAGGATTTGGTTCCCGCTAAGGGTGTGTACCTCGTTTGCAGTTTGTCCCCGGCCCTGGTTGGATGTGCGGGTGGCAGCCACTCGATGTGTCCCTTTCACATCCATGTTTCTCTCGCTCTTCTCTCCCTCCCACTCTATCTGAACAAACAATGGAAAAATATCCTTGGATTATTCGAGGATTAAAAAATAAATAAAATGATAGTTGCAAAATATAAGTAAAAATGAGAACAGTCTTGAGAGCATGAATTTCTAGGATATCTTCAGGCATAGTGTTAAATACATTTGTTCAGGCTGGTCTGTATATGTTTAGTCTGATCTTCAAGTGAAGGTGATGGTAGCTAATAACATAAGAGGGTTTCAGCTATCATGCAACACACTATCCTTTGAAGAGTAGACAGTTTAATAGTAAAGTTAGAATGCTGGTATATAGTGTGTGTGTGTGTGCTGTGTATTGGCAAATGTAGGTTTACAGTTCATAAGGAAATAATACAATAATAATAGCATACAACTCTGTGCCTACTTTCGCCTATATAAATGCATATATGTGTGTACGTGTGTGTATGAGCATTTACTGTTCTACATTTTTTTTTTTTTTTTTTTTTGGTACGTGCCCCTAGCGGGAACCGAACCCAGGACTCTCTGATCCACAGGCCGATGCTCTAACCGCTGGGCCAAACCGGCCAGGGCTACATAATTTTTTAATTAGTATAAGCTATGCACTTTTCCCCCCTGAACTAGAGTAACTCAGGCAAAGTGGGATAATTTCCTAGTAAATTGCAAATATTCTAAAGTAATTCTGTGAGTGCAGTTATCGCTTCATAAAGATATTTACAGAGCATTTATAGTGATCCAGGCATGGTTCTAGACAGTAGATATATAGTATGAATAAACATTTCTTGCCCTGGCTGGTGTGGTTCAGTGATTAGAGTGTTGGTTTGCGCACCAAAGGTTCGATTCCCAGTCAAGGGCACATATCTGGGTTGCAGGTTCAATCCTCGGCCCCCTGTAGGGGCGCGTATGAAAGACAACCAATTGAGAGACACATTAATAATGTTTCTCTCTTTCCCACAACCCCCTTCCTCCCTCCCTCCACTCACTCTAAAAATCAATGGAAAAAATATCCTCAGATGTGGATTAACAACAACAAATATATGTGTGTGTGTGTGTGTGTGTGTGTATAATTTATCATTAACTAAATACCTGTTTATTTATGTTTTTTATTCAAATGTTCACAGATGCCTTCTATAAAATTCTCCATTTTTATACAATGATCGTGGTTCAAAACAGCTGAATACAGCATTCTGCTTTGTAAATATTTTCTTTAGGTTAAATTTTCTAGAGCTGTAGTAATATAAATTAATATTTTTAATGTTTTAGATTCCAGCTTTATACCTGTTTGAGCGTAGTTATCAACTTCAAAAATATGTTATTAAATTGATATAAAATCCTATCCCTGGCAGAATGTCAAGTTTTCATTGGTAATATTGGTGACTTCCTCCACTGAATCTTCTCAGGTACCTTTTTATTCTGAAAAAAAATGTTTTTTTAAATATGTTTTTATTGATTTTTTAGAGAGAGGAAGGGAGGGAGAGAGAGAGAGAAACCTCAGTTGGCTACCTCCAGCATGCCCCCTACTGGAGATCAAGCCTGCAACCTAGACATATTTGCCCTGACTGGGAATTGAACCAGAACTTCTCAGTCCATGGGACTATGCTCAATCCACTGAACCACACCAGCCGAGCTATTCTGAAAAATTTAAAACCTGCAAAAAAGTAACAAAAATAGTACTTTGAAGAGTTAAATAACTTTTTTTTTTATCATCCTCACCCGAGGACATTCTTCCATTTTTTGTTCAGATAGAGTAGGAGGGAGGGAGGGAGAGAGAGAGAGAGAGAGAAACATCGACATGAAAGGGACACATCAAGAGGTTGCCACCTGCATGACCCAACCAGAGCCAGGGACAAACTGCAACCGAGGTACGTGCCCTTAACAGAAACCAAACCCGGATCTCTCTGGACCGCAGGCCAACGCTCTAACCTCTGAGCCATACCTGCCAGGGCGAGTTAAATAACTTTCTAGTGTATTTACCGGTTGCTAATAGCCAAATATTCAAAAATAATTCTGAGAATGCAGTTATTTGTTTTTTCTAAACCATTTGAGAAGACATTACAGTTTAGGCCTACTTTAACATGTATTTTCTAAGAACAAGGGCATTTTCTTATATAACCATGATACAATTTTCATATTAAGGAGACTGCATTGATACAATATTTTTTTGTTTATGTGTTTGTTAATCCTCACCTGAGGATAATTTTCCATTGATTTGTAGATAGAGTGGAAGGGAGGGAGGGAGGGAGGGAGAGAGAGAAACATCAGTGCAAGAGAGACACATTGATTGGTTGCCTCTCGTACAACCCCAACTGAGACTGGGAATTGAACATGCAATCCAAGTACGTGCCCTT